AAAACTATTGTCTTCTATGTAAGAAGAATAAAGAAAATCTATAAAATAAAATTAATTATATTAATAACTACCAGAATAAGTCTAATATTTTGAAAACGATACTTGAAGAGCGAAGTTTTAATTAGACGAAAAAAAATTCACACTACAAAATAAATTTTAAAAAAACATTTTAAACATACTTTCATAAAGGATACTTTAAGATAAAGTTATTATTTCAAATCAATGATATTATTAATTTAGTATAACTTACATTAAAAATTTTATTTTTTTGATAATAAATTAGAATAAATTTTGAAGTTTAAATTTTAACGTAAAATAATTTATTAATTTTACAAATGTCACAAAAAGGGATTAACTATAATGTAGATAGCAGTGGATTAAACTTTCGCAAGAATAATTTACAATTTTTTATTTATACATTTTAATTTTTAAATTTGAGGATAGTTTTATATTATACTCAAGAATATTGTACAATAAATTCGAAAATCTACTATTTAATATTAAAAAATTAGTCGCATTAACCGAACAAAACAATTTCCGAATCAAATAAACAAAGAAAAAACAATTTGATAAAAGGATTTTAAAAGAAAAAAATATAAAATAAAAATAATATAAAAAACAAAATTTTTGATTTTATTGTTTATTTTCTGAAAATATTTTAAATATTTTAATTCTACAAAATAATTAATATTGTTATTTATTATATAACTTAACAAAATAAAAAATATTTTTTTAAAATTAACATTTAAAATTATATAACTTCATATTAATTTCAAAAATTAATAGTTTTTTAATTTATTAATTAAAAATAGTATAAACAAAATTTTAACATAAATTAAGAAATTAAGAAAACAAATATAAAATATGGTACCAGTTTCTGAAGTCATTATGAAATTTACATTTGGAAATATTTAAAAATGTTCAATATATTACATCGTTTTATTTAAAGATCTCCCATTCTATTTATAAAGACATTTATTTATTTTTCAACATAAAAGGAATTTTTAATTTTAAAAAATCGATACCGCGTCAATCGGTATTAATACAAATTTTTCTTTCGGTAGTATAAAAAAATATTATGTAGAATTAGCAGCAACCGTTCAAAAACCTATCAATTTTATAAACAAAATAATAAAAAACTGAGAGTTCCCACACCATAAATCCTCCTAGAAATGGAGCTGATAAAATCAGTATACTTTATGCCTCACAAAAGAGACAAAAATGCTATCAATAAACATTTTGGTACTATAATGTCCCTTTACGAATTATTGAGCTTGAACCACCTTGGTAAAGATTCTGTAATCTTAGTTTGCCAAGTCTTAACTCAAGATTTTACGGACATGCACTACGATTTAGATCCTAAATTGGAAAATATAAATGCGCAAAATAGAACTACAAAACTAAAACATCAAAATAAACACATAACTGTTTTTATTATGTTAACTACAAAAAATGAAAAATAAATATTTTGAAAAGTTGTGTATAATAACTTTTATATACGTATATATACAATAATAACTTTTCATTAATTTTAAAAATTTAAAACAGTACACGTATTTTTCTCTTCTCCTAGGCTCTTTCAAAAAGATTATAGAAAATTTAAAACAACGGGAGGTTATAAGTGCCATACCTACATATTTAATGAATAAGATACTGTTTGATATTACTTGAGATAATAGGTTCGTGTGGTTTTTCCTGGGATGATATTTATGATGAATTAGAGCGAGTCGACCTTCCAGAAAATATTGTAATGTTGCCTTCATTTGCTGGTCTTATGAAATCAAATAAAGTAACAGATCACAAACTTAATCACTTCGGCCGATATCAACATCGAAATTTTATTAAAAATACGTTTACTTTTAGGAATTTCCATCAAGTTTGGGCAAACATACCTTTACTCAATGCACATTGATTTTAGGAAATCCCACATCAAGTATTAAAATTTCAAATACAGCCTTAACTTACGCTTCTGCTTTGCGAAACTATATTTCATAAAAAGTAAATTCTCAAGTTAATCAACAAAAATCAGGAGATCAATAAGAAATCATTTCCAATTCAAAATGATAACTGAAATGTAAGTGGAATTTTAAGTCTCTGTCTTGGAAACATTTGCGAAAGGTTAAAGTACGCGGAAAATTTGGTCTTAAATATTGCAAAATGATAGTCTTTAACTATCATTCTCTTGACAAAGGGCCTTAACTAAATTAATGGGCAACCTGATTCTATGTATACATACGTTAGCAAAACTGTTTTGAAAATTATTACTTTGACACTTCTTTTAAACTTGTAAATGTAAACAATATTTAAGCCCAAGGCTTTATGAATACAACTTCTAAATTCAAATTGTTATATGGAAATATGCTATTTTAAAAATGGTTTAATCAGCTTAATTCTTTGATTTATATAATACGACAACTGAGCGAATTTTAAATTTCGTACTTAAAGTAATCTTCCAATCTAAAAGATTTTTTTTATTAATAATCTACTTAATTAAATAGTAGATTTTCTCTTTGAGTAATCAAATATTATCCAGTTGAACATTTGACATGAAAATAGTTCAAAATTGGATTTCAAACTTTAAGCATGGTGTAAGTAAACGAGAGTCATTAATTTTTACCATTTTGGTTTTTTTTTTCATTTTTACCATTCTGTTTTTTTTTTTGTTTTTTATATAATTTAAGCAATTTTGAAATTTTTGATAACTTTGTTATGTTTTCCATGTTACTCATTATTTTATATTATAATATATTATATAATTTAACTTAATGAATTGTTTAACATCTAAATATTTATAATATTATGGTGATTTCAAGCATATGTAATATGTATATAAACATTACAATTCAGAAAGAACCCAGACTTTACATAATTTTTGTAAAAATAAGTGTAATTTCGTTTTTATATTTATTAAGAAAATCTTTAAAAACGATGAATGTTTAAATATAGTTTTCATAATTTCAATTATATATATTTGAAATTCTAATAAATGTACATGTTTAAAAAGTTTATGCAACAAACTGCAGAAAATATATTTATGCAAATTTATTTTTGTATGTGATACAAATGATTTAAATACATTAATATATTTTATAAAATGTGGAAAAAAATATATTTTTTTCTTTTCTTTATTTACCTATGTTATTTAGACGCTTTCGGTTTATTCAAAAATTTTAAAAGATAATATTTTCTTCGCTTTACAATATGTTTACAATTTTCTCTTAGTTTTAACGTTAAACCCGGTTTTTTATTAAATTAATTTAATTTTTTTGTGCTTGTAAAGTAATCAAATTTAAGCCTACAATATGCAAATACAAATTGCAAATCGACCAATAATGAAGTAAGAAAACATGAAATACAAAATACAAATATATTTGACGAAAGGTTTTATAATAATTTTTATGCTCGTGTATATTTAAATAAGTTAAAAAAAAATTTTTTAAAAATATTAATAAGGGAGACTCTTTAAATTTTTAATAGAATTGAAAATATGAATAGTGCATGAATTTGAAATGCAAAAAATTATTATCACAACAAAATGTAATCATAATTACTTTAAAAAACAAATATAGCAGGTTATAAATGTAAACTTTCACACATGAGAAAAACTGTTCCTAAAAATTCCGATTCAGTTTTTAATTTTATATTTTTTACACATGTTTTTTAGTTAATGTATATATAATTACGATTATAACATTTTACATAATTATATTCACATTGTCCCTATTTATGATTTACAAATTAATACAAACATATTTACATGTTACATAATATATGCATATATTTACATTCTATAAGTTTACCTGAATTGTATTAAGTGTTTAATTATTCATTAGAAATAAAAATTTTGATTTTAATTTTTAACATTATTTTGTAATACCATTTTGGATACACTTTAAAATGCACATATTTGATAATAATAAAGTAGAATTAAAAAACTATAATATATTATGCAAGATTTGTCCAAAAATATCCTTCCTCTACAAATTTCTAATTTGATCTTTTAACATATCAAAAATACTAGTTGTAGTTTGTTATAAAATATGTATTATATCATTTTAAAATAAAATTTAATTCGATTTTTTCGGCTCCATTTAACGTCATGATTACATCGAAATCATTCAACTACTATGTCGATATAAAAAATATAAAACAAAGAAAATAAAAAAAAGAATTTGAATGAAAACCAATTGCATCATTTTGAAATAAAGTTAAGTAAATTATAATTTGGAGTGCGATTCGATAAATGTTAATTATATAATGTTTCATAATATATATAAAAATAAATAACATCTGCATATGTTTAAATATTAATTAATCATAGCACTTATAAAATGTAAATCAAATATCAATGGATAAAAAAAAATTTCTTTTGTACCTAAGTGGTTTTACAAAACAATACTTAAAAAAAATTAACTTCAACAAAATATAAAATCTATGTATAATCTCATTATCTAAAATCAGTCTTTATATTTCTTTGAATAAAAAAAATAATTGTATTTAACGGATTATTATTTTAGATCTGTATTGGAAAAATTATTCTTTTTATTTAACTTATCTTTTAATACATGAAAATGTTTGTATGGCAGTCATATTAGTTTTTTTTAAGGTATAAAAATAATTATTTCCCATTTTTGCAATAACTTTAAACGTAATGCTATTATATTTTATATGAACTTTTAAAAACTGAATCGGTTTAATTTTTATCTTCGAATAATATTTAAAAAAAAATACATCGATATAGTTTTAATTTTTACTCATTTATTTAAGCTGTTTAATTTTTAATTTTCAAAAATACGTTTAACTTATATAAAATAAATTTTCGTTACAACGTTAATTAAGAAGATTTAAAGTAAAAGCTAAATTAAGAAATTGTAAAAGAATATTTTATCAAAAATAATTGTTGCGGTTTATTTTTTACTTTTTTGATTTCCAATATTGATTGATTTCCAATATTTATACAAATTATTGAATTTGTTAATTATTTTAATAAAATACACTTTTCTTGTGCGTTTTACACTTTTTATATTGTAGCAATTTTACAATAAAAATAGAAATTGGATTTAAAACTCTTTCATATTTTGCCTTAATTTGGTAACAATGATAAATATTACTTTCAGTTATTGTTCTTCAAAATAAACTCGAAACATATTATATCTTGTGCCAAAATGCGCGTGAATAGAAACTATTAAATTAAAAAACCTTAAATAACGTAATAAGCCGCAATTATGTATGCACTATGTAATTTCATACATAAGTAGAATAATTAAACAGCTTTATTAAATTGTTTTACATAGTACAAAAGTAACTAAACTATATTTCTATAAATATGGGTTACTTATTAACATAATTTCACGGATAATTAATATTATGATGCCCATAAATACAATTACAACTAATACATACAATTATAACTAATATTTTATAAAAATTCTATTTACATGATACATGTACACATATAACGCAAAGATAATTAATATACTATTAACTTACTATTATATATTTCTGTAATATACGTTTATTTTTATTTTATTTTTTGTTTTTTTTTTTTTTGGTTTATTTATTGATTTTCAGTTTTTATTATATTCTTTCATATATAATTCTCAAAATTTTCAAAAAATGCCTTATCTTCATAAAATTTCCAACTTTGCTGATCAACATTTAATACAAATACTTCTTTAAAAAATGTAACACTCTACACCTCTACCACTTTCTCCACACTAAAGTTTCTTTTTTTTGTTTTGTTCAATAGTGAAATTTACAAACATTATTTTTAGTTTCTTTCCAACATTTATACACATTAAGTTTTTAAAAACTCTTTAATAAATCAATTTACGTACTTCTTCAATTATTATTTTTTTCTTCAAATATTCAATTACGAAATTACATACCTAAGTTTACAATTAAATATTATTTAATTTTTATATTATAAATTTTTTAAAAATTTAAATACTCTACATTTATAAAATTTTTTCTTCGACACTTATGTTAGCTAATGTCTTTTTAATTCTTAAAGCAGTTAATCTAGCAGCAGGGTTCGCATACCAACATTCTTTCATTACTTTTGCCATATTATGAAGAACATCAGAAGCATGCCATCGATTTGGTATATTTGGACGTATTTTGTCTATGCAAACAACCTTAAAATAAAAATCAGAATTAAAAATAAAATGGACCTTAAATTAAAAATAATAAAAAGTTTTTTTAAGTAGCAAACCTTCTCTTATTATATAAAATAATTTCAATAAAAATACTAGCAAAAACACATATAAAAAAAAGTCAAGTAGAAATATTTCGTTATACTAATATTAGTTCTTGTACTATGAGTTGTACAAAAAGTTATTATCGAAAACATCCTTCAGGCCACAATACTCAGAAATTTTAGTACAAAAATCACATACATATTGAATAAAAACGTAAAATATGTAATAAAAGCACTATATCTTAATAATCGAGAAGGTTAACTCTAATGAAGGTTAACTCTAACGATAATAGACTTCTATTTGAATTATTGATTTCGTTTTAAAATTAAAAACTAACCTTTTTCATTTCTTCTATTGATGGATCAGGTTGTACAACATCATAATATGGCAATTGATAATCATCATAAATCATGCCCATATTACACCGTCTAGCTATTTCCCACAATATTAAACCGAATGCATAAACGTCAGCTCGTTTATAAGAATCAAAATGGTTTGCATTTAAGGTTTCATCCAAAACTTCTGGCGCCATATAACGTTTTGTACCAACACGATGTGTTGACGGAATATCAACGGAATCATCTTTGTCCACATGCCTAACAGCTAAACCTAAATCAGCTATAGCACAACTTAAATTATTTTTAACCAAAATATTTTTTGATTTCAAGTCACGATGAGCTATCGCTGGTTTACCCCTAGTACCTAAAATATCCATATGTAAATGAGATAACCCAGTCGCTATTGACAGTGCCATTAACAACATAGTTTTTGTGTCAACAGTATGGGCTGTTAAATAATCAAACAGTGAGCCATTATCATGATAATCAGTCACAAGCCATAATTGAGTCCATGTTCCATTATCTGAAAAAAAAAAAAATTTATATTTACAAATTTCGAAGATTAAAAATTGCGTATCAAAAATTTTAGGAATTTATATACATATATCAAAAAGTACCAGAACTTTTTCCAATTTAACAAATAGTACCTTTATTATCTGCTGCTATAAAACCTAATATATTTTCATGGCGTAACATTACAGTTTGGTATATTTCAGCTTCTCTAAACCAAGATGACTCCTCCCGACTTGAAAAAATTTTCACAGCAACATTTTCTCCACGCCATCTGCCTCTCCATACCTCCCCGAAACGACCCTTTCCAATTACATTACATAACTGAACTTGCCGAGCAATTGAACGTTGTACTAACAATGGCAAACCAGCTAAAATTATTTTTTTAAAAGAAACCTTCATAAAAATTCAGTTGCGCTATATAAGAATATAAAAATACTAACCTGAGCCTGACCCAGATGTTGTCATCTCTATGATATCCTGAATTGTATTACCATTTAAAATAGGGTCGCATACAGAATCTTCTTGTGGATATGGTCTAGCCGTAAGCATCCGCTTACGTTTTTGTATATACCAATACATCGTAAATATAATTAAACATAAAAAAAATGTTGCACCAAATATTATAAATACTAAATGCCATGTTGTAAGAGCAGTTTCTGGTAGAAAATCTTTATTTTTTATTTTTTTGTTTGTAAGTATAAAAATTAATAATATATTAGTTTTTGGAAAAAAAAATATTTTTTAAAATGACATCAAATAATTTTTCTTTTTTCTTAAAAAAGCAAATATAAAATTAAGTTATGGAAATTATAGCAACCAAGAAAACAGCAAGCAAAAGCAGCATGCGTGAATTAAATTAGTGAAACAAAAAGAGCAACAAGATTCCCAAAAACCATGCATCAATAGCGTTGTTAAAACAGTCAACTACTTAAGTTAAAATTAACCAGGAAATGAAAATGAAAGACATCTTTGCATTTTTAATAAACTACTTCAAAATATAACCGCATAGTAAACATCAATTCTGAGATAATCATGGAAATTTTTTGTAGACCATGCCTCAAAAAATCACTTTTCTTTTAAATATTCTGTAATAAAAATAAATTGTTTGTCACTTGTTTAAGGAACAGAACATTTAACTGAATTTTTCAATTTTGAAGTTATGGTTAAATACGTACATATATAAAACTATACTGATGATAAACTATACTTGATTTAATTTAAATTACAAATATTTCAAAGTAAATAAAAAAAAATTATACAACAAAGGCAAAAGGAAATATTTTTTTAATTTTATAAGAAAATGGTTTAGAAAATTATTACATAATGTCTTTTTAACAATATTAATATTATATCAGTTACATAAGTCACATGAAAAGCATCGCACTCTGTAAATAAGCACTGTCAGTACATTCGTTTCAAAAATTTGTTTACCCCTGACTTTATTGTGTTTGCTTATATACATAGCTAAAGTATGTACCGAAAGTTTTATTTAAAAATTGTATACAATTATAAAATTTGTAAGATTTTATAATTAAATATGTTTTTATCACAAAACTACAAGTGTTCAAGTTTCTAAAACGTTATACAAAAAGAAGAGGAAAAAATATTGATGGCTAATTTGATTGAAAATTTTGGCCTTTCAATTCATAAAACTTGACCCATGTACATGAAATTTTGGAAGAACTCATAAATCTAAACTGTTTTATTATAAATATAATTAATGTTTACAAGCTATAATGAATTTAAAAATTTTTGGCTTTCCTGCCGGTGATTTCGTGTCTGTAATTGAAAGACAAAAGAAAACAAAAAATTATACCCACATGAAGATCTTTTAAAAACTGGGCAAGTTCAGCCAACTTAAGTGGTTAGTTAATTATCGCTGCAGAGCTGAAAACCACCGAACGGTTTGCAGAACTTTATTTTTGTTTTAAGAAAATATGACATTTGGTATGAATAACGGTTGTCAGTTTTATATTTCTTTATTTTTAAATTTAAAAAAAAACAAACAGAATGGAGAATAATGATGGTAAGTAATAAAAAGTAGTTTTGTTTTATAATAATACAAATTATAATTTAAAGAAACTAAGTTTGTAAAATGTTAACTATATTTTTAGAGTCTTACATAAACGTAGAAAATTACTTGATAATTTTAAAGCGCTTAAGTTGGCTGAACGCACTCATTACTTTACATAAAAATTAATAATTAAAATAGTTTTAACTTTTATTTTAACATTACTGTTGTAGTTTTTTTTTTTAAATGCTTCGTTTTAATGATATTGGTTGAAAATTTCAAATAATATCATTTTTTCTAAATGCTTGACCTATCATGAATTACGGAATGAAATTCGGAAAATTAATAATGTCATATTGCCAATTCCGAATTATTAAAACTCTGCTCCGAATATTCCCAACAGAGTAATCAAAAATTACATTCGTAGTAAAAACAAATGTCAAAAGTCCACGAGAGAGATAATAACTCTTAATAGAAATTTAAAGAGAGCCGTTTAGTTTGCATTTCCTTTAACAACACAGCTCTCATGTGTCGTAGACTTCAAAGAAAAGTTCAGTGAGAGAAAAAAACAATTACTAAGTTGGTAATTCGTAGGGTTCTACAAGTGGAATTCATGATAGGGCTGTGAATTCGTAAAAGCCCCAAAGGAAATGGGGCTAAAAACATTTTTCGAAATTGTATTTCTTAAAAGTTTATGATTCGCCTATTGAATAATTTTAATAATTCTATAATTTAATTTCAATCATTTTTTATGTAAAAAAAAGCGATATACAATCTTCCTTTTACGATATTTTTTCGTAACATTTCAGTTTTCAAAATTTTCATACAAGTTTATATTAAAATTCCTATGAGCAACCAAGCACACATTCAGCGTTAAATTTGAAGATAATCAACGTAATTTTTAAACATTTTTTCACATAATAAAATCGATCACATTTTAATTATCCTAATGTTTCCGAATGAAAAGTAACACTATGCAAAACAGAACATAATAAAATGTTTATGTAATTGTAATAATAATAAAATGAATTTATTTAGAAATAAAATAACATTAAACATATAAAATACATACAAAACACTTAGATGTTTTTATAAATGAAAAATTAAACATAAAAACACGTAAAATATGATTATATATATATATATATATATATATACATATATATAGAAGAATACTATATATATTATAATTATATGTGTTTCACATAAATATACACATAACATATTTATCCCCCAAATAGACAAAAATTTCCTCGTTTTCTTAAATATCTTAATTCACAAAAGTTCATGTGTTGTTCCAATAAAAATAAATGAGAACGATGAATATTCTTTTGATTGATGAATTTTTCATAAAAATATTTTTTTGTAAATAAGTTTCATTTCTTTAACGCATGAATATAACGTATACTGATAAATTAAAAAAAAAATGGTAGTAGTTTGACACTACTATATATGAGACAACATTGAATTATTTTGAGGAAAAATTTCTGTTTGATAATTATTATTACAAATGTATATATTTGGTACTATCAAAGCTCACCTGAGATCGGTAAGGTAAAATTTGCTTTTGTGTTACAAAAATTTTGGTTACAACATTTTCGAGCTAATGACTTTTTTAAATCTATAAAATCACAGATTGCTGGAGCATCAGGATTAATGAATTCGTCAAAACATCTAAGTAAAATATTTAGTATTTTTTAGTTCAATTATTATACAATTATTATAATGACAAATTTCATTTATAAAATACTACCATTTTAAAAATAAAAAATTTTTTATACATATTTTGTAGCATGATAATATAATTGCAACCCACCTTGTCTTACAAAATACATTTTAGAAATTTTTAAGAGACTTTCTTAAAGTCTTTCAAAAAATAGAACTTAAAGTTGTAAGAGGATTATTGATGCAAAACTTTCGTATAAACAAAAGATGCCTTACTTGGATACAAGTAACTAACCTACAAACATCTTATTCATCTTCAATATGGATTGTATTATTGCTTTATTCATCCAAATGTTAAAATCAAATATAAATGAAATACATATTTGAAAGTAACATAATTTCGTTAAAATTATTGATATATTTTTACAAAAGTTGCTTGAACAAAAAATATTTGCTTCCAAGATAATTTGCAAAAAAAAATACACAAGAAACTATTATTTTTATTTTTAATAGCCAACATAGATCTTCATAGGGTAATCAAAAGAGACAATCAAATCCTCGAGAGTTAAAGAAATTTATGAGTCAATATTCTTGGACACATTACCTTAAACAACATTAATAACCTATTTCAAACATTTTAACAAAATCCCCTCACAGATCAATTGTATTTGCAAATTAATATAATCGTTAAAAACAATAATAATAGTTAATAATCATAAAATTTTAAATATGTTTTTGCAGTTAAATTATAATAAATTGAAAATTAATTAATAAAAATATTGAAATGGTGAAAACTATTTTCGTAATCAAAGAGAATTATAGCAATTTTCTACGTAATAAACGAATATGCATTTCAATTCATACTTTTGTGCACATTTAGAATAAAAAATATAAATTGAAAAAGGTAAAAGAAAAAATGTCCTGGTAAAAGAAAATGTAATTTTAAATTCTACTGCTTAATTACGTACATAACACCATATAATATTAATGTAGCTTTAAAACCAAGATAGAAAATATCAATTCAAAAAATAAATTTCTAGAAATAAAAAATAATAAATTTTAATAGAAAAGATAATAAACCAAAATATTCTAGTAAACATTAAAAATTTTGCTAAAAAAATTAAAATATGATTGTATATATTTATATATATGTATAATATTTATATATTATATTATACACATATTAGTATGCAAAATTTTGAATTTCCTATTTGCCTTTATAATTATTTTTTGATCTTAAGAAATTTAATTCAGTACCTGTTTTAAATTCCAATTTTAATAATTCATTTTTATTACAGTAATCTGTATTACAGCATTGAATTCTAAAAAATTTTTTTTTCTCCTTGCTAACTAAGCATTCTATTGGTTCAGATCTTTCAATCTCATATGTTTTATGGATACACCTGTATGTAGGGCATTTATTTATATAAAAAATTTAGATAATTTTTAAAAGTTAATATAGGATATGCAAAATAGTACAAAATTTAAAAAAAAATATCTTCAATATTTTATTCCAAATTCATATTATTTTAGTATTTAAAACATATACATATATGTATATGTACAACAAATTCAAAAAAAAATAGAGACACTAACTAACGCTGGAAACTATTTTCAATGTTCAGTTATTTAGTCACAAGTTGATTTTTTGAGTTAGTAAGAGAAAAAAATTCGCTTAATTACGGGCTTATCAATAAATCAGTACTTCAAATACTTGACTAACGTAAAAGAAAAATTATTTATTTTTTTTTCAAATTTTTACACTAAATATTTTATTAATCTACTGCTGAAAGAATAGCACACTAAAAATATTTTCCTTTTCCTTTTAAAGAAAACTAAGTTTAGGGTTTCATATTCAAAAATATTCAATTCAAAGAATAAAAATTATTACAATTACTTTATTTTTCAAAGCATTTGAATATTTTTGCAAAATATTACATTTTTTATGGTAAATGGCTATTTGAACGAGCGCAAAATATTGAGCGTAGAAAAGAAAAAAAAACCACATTAATATTTTTTGATTATTTGGCATTTAGATATTATTTATGATTTTTAAAACTTTGTTTTAGTATGGGATTCAATATTTAAAAAAAAAGAAATTAATCATAAAACAAAAAAAAAACATTTATACAGAATTTATCAATAAAAAAAATGGTTATATATGTATCGATGGTTTAAAATGCATTTATTTTATATTTTTTACTCATGACTTAATAAATTTCGCACCTTCAACATGTTCTTGGGCAGTTTTTATTTTGGCTGGGAAATCCATATTGCACATATCAGAATGGTCACAACAATACATAGTTTTATTATTGCATAAACGTAAAGGACCTTCCGGATCGGGGAGAAATTTATGTCTGTGAAAACAACTGAAGTACACGTATATATATGATGTTTTATTGTTGTTTATACAAATCCGCAAATAAAGTATTTTATACGTAATAATCTACTAACTCTTTTATAATCATTATAATATCAACATCGTTTGATCAAAAAATATTTTGAATAAAAAAGTATTGTTAGTTTTACAAATTTTCATAATATTTCGTCTAAATTAAGAAATTTTTTCTATAGAGCTACCAAATACTACCAAAGAATAACTGAATTTCGTCGTTAACTCAATTATTGCTAAACTTTCTTTTTAAAAGCCTTTTGTAATGAAAATCTTTTGTACCAAATACATATTATTTATGAATGTATATAATTTTATTTACTCTAACTTTATATAAAAATTGAAAATATTTATAATATAAATGTGAAATGAAAAACGAATAATATGAAACCTTTCTTTAAATTAGAAATCTCTCGGACACAACGATCTTCCATTTGTAATATATTGTAGTTTGAGATTTTAAGAACGCAAAGTTTTATATATTGTTTTATTTGTGATTACTCGTACTATTTATGGTTATGAATGATTTGAATTCCAATTCTGTTTTATAAAACTCATTTTATAGGACTGTCAAACAATAAATTGTGAATTTTGTTGTAGTTTTGCATGTTCGAAATCTATCTCTAAATTTAAAACTATTTTTGTTCAAAGCTATACAAAAATATTTATAGTAGTGGTTGTTCTACATTTCACTTTATACGAAATCAAATACTGAAAATTAAATTTGGTTAAAGATTAAAGCTCTTGGAAACAAAACTTAAAAAATTCCGACCGAAATTTAAACAGCCACGCTTTTTTAGTTTTAAAAATTGAAATTTATTCTTAACTTATCAACATGTAGCTACTATTAGTCTTTGATATCTTTTCTAGAAAAGATTCTAAGAATTAAAATTATTTTATTCTGTTTAAAAAAAATATCTATCGAATTAATATTTAAAAAAATTATAATATTAATTAAAAAATAAGTAATTTTATAATTTTTTTTTCATAGTTTCTTGTACTTTATTTTAATTCGAAATGTTAAACTTAAATTAATTTTTATATGTATGACAAGAAAATTAACATACCTGTAGCTATAAACCAATTCATTTTTAACTAGATCCTTTTCAACAGATGTAAAGCAAACACCATCAGTTTCACAAACATGATTATCATCCTTGCAATAATCACAGTGACACTTCAGAGATTCTAAAAACAAAATATTTACATATATTATAAAAAACATCTTATTCTCCTTTTTTGTTTCTATTATACTTTTTTTAGGTGCTTGAGATACCATAGCCAATGGAGGATTTATGGAATTGTTCTCTGAGTTACTCAATATTAAATTTCCTGTTTCCGTTTCATTCGGATTTAATAAATTAGATTCCGCTTTTATATCACTTTGATATTTCATTTTAATTTTAGTAGAGTCTATGGTTTTCTCAGACATTACTAAAAAAAAAAATTTGTTTTTTATTTTCTTTTAATGTTTTAAAATGTTCATAAAGAAATATTACATGAAGCAGGCGATTCTGGAACCATATCTTTTGAGTTCTTAACTAAAATACCTTGGTGAATATTATATAAATTATTTGTAGAGCTATTAGCAATGTTAGATAATTTTGTTAATCCTATTGATATTTCATTTTCATTTGTGTCATTTACAATTATTTCATTATTTTTAACAACTGAACCTGAAAAAATTTTAATTTTAATTTTACACTTCATAAGGAAACAGATTTATTTATGAAAAGCTGAGTTATCTGTAGACTTCAAATATCAGGGATTGGCAAGAAGAACTTACATTTTTTTTTGCTTTAAATTCATATTTTCATCTTTTCATTTCACAGAAATATTTTGAAATGAAAAAGGAAATTCAGTTCAAAAATGTTCGCTTTAAAATGCTAAAATCTCACTTTTAAATAAAAAAAAGAAATTTTAGAGTAAAAGCCGAGACCGTAGTTAAAAGATATTTTACAAATGCATATGTACCTATGTGCGTCAATCTAATTAGTTATTGAATACATACTATTTGTTTGAAGGATATTGTATAATAATTTTAAGAAGGTAGTAGGTGTACCTTACTGGATTTCAGAAATATTTACGTAATTACGAACTTAATAGCTTAATTGTTTAAAAATCGCTGATAAATGCATTTTGAGAAAAGCCAAATTTCATGCACCGAGTGGATCCAACCTTTTCATCCACAACAAAAATTGACTAAAATTTTCTTAAATACAAAAAAAACCCAAATTATTTCTAAATTATAGTAAAAATAATATTTCTTCTGAATCGGATAAGAAATACTAATAATGAAACTCAGCGTAATTTTTCTGCATTTTGCTTCTAATGTAATTGTAGCAAAATTTTAATTCTTAGCTTTTTTGTTTTTTATGTGAAGTATAGCTAAATCGAGTTTGGTTGGAAGAATTTTAGCCTTAAAAAAATTTAAACTAGGTACCAAGTTATTGAGCTATTCTTGTGTTCAATATAATATGCAGAGACACATCTAATTTATATAAAACATGGTTTAATGTACGAATACTCTAAGTAGTACAATAGGCATAACATATGTAATGTGCGTAAAAGCTAATTATAATATGAACATAAATAACAATAATAGTATAGGATAGTTTATATGTAGGTGTAAAAATAAACTTGTTATGCATATTTTTAAATAAAATACATACGTTATTAATAATAGTATACATATGTACATTTCCGAGTATATTAATGTATGTATGACGTTAATTGCTTATTTTCTATAACGTAATGTAATGTAAATAAAAATTTTTACTTATCTGCCTTATTTCATCAAAAAGATTTGAATAAATAATCTTTTTACTTTGCACCCCACATTGCCTACTTTATATAAATAATTCGAAATTTTCGTGTAATAAAATATTATGAATTTTGAGATAAGATTAATAATAATAAACATAATAGATGGCTTAGTTAAATTTGTTAACACAAAACTGAATACATTTAGTCAATGGAGTAAATCCAGAATAAGATTACATGGGTAGGTACTTACATGGCAATTACAAACATTTAAATGCAAATATAACATGTTATAATCTTTACTTAAATAAAAAAAAATAAAAATTTTAAAATCTTAAGTATGTATGTTTGTTCTTTGAAGGAGCATAAGTTATAGCCGCAAAAGCAAACTTTTTTAATCTAAATACTTTCTGGTTCTCTTGCAATTTTCAACCTAAATTTACGAAATGTTTAAGGTAAAAAAAATTTACAATGATTTGTAATACATACTCACCTTTAACTAAAAAAGCAATATTAAAAATACTAAAACCAAAAAAGATACAATTTTTGTAAATGTTAAAAAAATTTATGATATGCATAATTTCGCAAAAAAAAATTTTGTAATTTTTTATTCTAATAAAATGAACTCAAATAAGCATTTCAGACTTCTGCCATATAATTATTATTGTTTAAAAATGATATTATTTTTTATAAATTTTTTTAATTAAATAATTGCTGCACTATATAAATATTTTTTGCTTTTAAGAATCATTTACATTTAATACGCAAAAGCGATCATAAAATTGAAAATTTTATTTCTAATCGTCATATTCCAGCTTTTAATTTTTTGTAACTAAGTAATTTATAATTTTAATGTAAATGTTAATTAATAGTAATATTTTTTTTTAATTTTCAATTACAAAAATTTTGCAAAAGCCATTTCCTCTTTTTTTTATTTCACTATTCTTGTGATATCACGTATTGTTTAGTCCTATTTCTTTATAGTTTAAAAAATTTTTAATAAATTTTGATTTAAAATCGTTTGTTTAACCAATTTGTTTAGAACAAATTACTAATTTTCTTTAGAAAATAAAAACATTTTGTAAATTATGTTGTGCAAATAGGCAAATGTCGCCATTTTCACAAAAAAAAAATTAGTAAATGTCAAAGTCAACTGACAAAGTTTTTATCTTACTTTTTCATTATTAGGGTGGCCCTATTATATATAAGTTGACATATTACTTCTTTTCTTTATTTTATGGCTGATTTTGAGACTTTTTATTCACATTAATTTTATCACAGCTACCAAACTTATAACGGAAACAGTTTTTATTCACGCTATTGAAGAAGAAAAAAAATTCGCATTAAGGCACCATTTCTTATTATGACATTTTTATAAATAAAAAAATGTATTACTTAGCTGTAATAAAAGTTCTATTCTGTGACTATGATAATAACAGCGACAAAACATTTTAACAGTATACCAAAACCTAAAATTGAAATTAACTACAATTTTTCCTTTGGTCCCTTTTCCTCCCGAGAAACTATGTGTTTCAATTAACATGTTAAAGTAACAATTACATATCAGACTTAATGTAGTACTTATTATATTCACTAGACTCAAATTCAGATTTTTATTAGATTAAATCTGATATGTAACAGGTACCCGACATGTAATATCTAAAAATTAAGCAACTGATATTTAAATACATAATTATACTGTAAAATGATCGAATATGCTGAAAATTCATTTCTCAATTTGCTCGTTCAACGTGTTAAATTATTTAATTAAAAATTAAGCAACTGATTTTTAAATACATAATTATACTGTAAAATAATCGAATATGCTGAAAATTCATTTCTCAATTTGCTCGTTCAACGTGTTTACAAAGCTTGTTTTCAACACGTTGAATCGTTAATGAACTGGTGAACCTCTTATTTGGAACTTGACACATGGTTGGAGAAAATAATTTTATTATTTAGGCGTTCGTAAACAATTCAGTTTTTAGTTCTGCAATTTTTTCTAAATTTACTTAGATCGCGAACGAAATTTATTATATGATCACATCCATTGACTCAAAAAATTAGTAATTTCTTACAAACTGATTGTTTACAAATCGATTAATTTGTTTCCTATACTCGCGCAAATCAAGTAGTAATTGCATAACAAAAACTTTTAAAAAGCATTTTAATTTAATTCAAAATAAAAAAATTTAGTTCATTCACTATTTCATAAAAATAAGTTTTATAATCTAGCATGTAGGTTTGAGCTTTGTTTACATTTTGCTTTTTTTTAACTTCAAAACATCTTTTTTTATAAATGTATCTTAAAAGTTTTGAAATAATTGAATTTCTTTTTTATTTTCCCATCTTAGTGATTTAAAATGTATATTTTATGTATATTTTATTTAATAGAAATACATATTACATATTGTATGTCGCTGCGACAGTGAATATTATTTTATAAAGCGTTGAAACCCCATTGTGTTTAGGGTATAATTGTTGAAGGCTTAAACTATGCCTTATATTTATATGATATGTATATATGCTATAAAAATCTGCATCTAGTGACAAATGTTTTATAAGTTTGGAAAAATATATGTCAACGTCACTCAAAAAAAGCGATTGAGTTGTCACTTTATCTTTTCGTCAAGAATAAAATAAAAATAAATTTAAACAAAGTTAATGTAAAGGCAAAACATTATGAATTTTTAAAAATTAACATTACAATTGTGATAAGTAAAGAAGCATTTTTTTAGTAATTTAAAATGGGTATAAGTGTAAGTAGAACAGATGATTTATCTGAAAATGATTTTTTGAAAAAATTTGTTGGAAAAGATCATATACCACCAAATAATCATGAATTTTGGAATAATTTGCTGCAATATCACATTAATAAACCAGCAAACAGGTAAATCAATTTATTAAAAAAACATTAAATTTTACTGTGTACTTTAATTGAAATTAATACTGAAACTAGCATGTCAGAAAAACATTTCATAAAAAAGTAACAAACGTGGGGTCAATTAAAAAAAATTATTGAAGAAAATTCTATACTTTAAATAATATTATTTTTTTTGTATTTGTAGTGAGGAACAACTAACACTGGATTCACGACTGGAAAGCCTATGCCAACTGTTCATTGTCAATAATTTAAAAACTGGGAACCTAGGGTCCTTGATAACCATTTTACTAAGCAAAGTAAATGACTTATTATCTTTGTCAGATCAGGAAAGGTTCGTCAAATTCGTAAAATTTATATAATTTGAAAATGAGTAATGTCTTATATTGCAAAACTTACCCTTTTTAGTTCTATTCATGTATGGCAAGCATATAATGCAATTTTCATAATAAGATGTTTAATTAAATATTTAATTGAAACTGGATCGGAATATCAATTACTGCAACATTTTGAGGCTTTACCTAATTTGAAAGATATTAAAATTCTTGAAAAAGATTCTGAAAATACGTCAATTTCTATTCCGGATCAAACTCAAACAAACAATTTGCACGATGAGCAGCAACAAACTCAGGTTTTTGTTGACGGCACCAAATTCGAAGCTTTTTTTGAAGCTATTGTAAATTTAATAGTCACCATACCAGTAAAGGAGTTCACCTATCATCTTCACCTTGAATGTGTAAACACAATCATAACTTTACTTTCCGTTCATTTGTTTTCCAATCCACCTACCAATATATCCATAATATTTAAAAGGATTTATAAATGTTTAAATGCAAACGTTTTAATGAGTGCTTTACTGCACTTTGTCTCTCGTATGGTTGAAGTACCCCAAGCGTCTTTTGGAGTATCCACTGGAAGTTCTTTTGTTTTTGGTATTGCCGAATCGTTATTATCAATATTTACTTTTCGTAAAAATCAGGACACGTTGGCAGCAGCTACAAATAGCACTGAACTATCACAACAATTTAGAGATCATTATCCTTTGGCAAATCAAAGTCTTTTGCTCATTCTTATTTTAACAAATCATTGCACGACGAAAGACAACCAATATCGTGCCAGTATTTTCGGGTGTTGCGATTCGAAAGATTCACCAAAAGAAGGAGCAACTTTCAAAATTGGTAAGTTTAAAGTTTTTACGTTGTACTTACTTATGCAAACAAATGTTAGTAATTTTAGCGAGAAAATTTCATAAATTGTATTTCGATAGATGATTCGGCATTTAAAAAAATTTAACGAAACTTTTATCATAATTTTTTAAGAAACTGTTTGATTATTTTCGTTTTAGTAGTTATCTTTTTTTTCTTTCTGTGAAAAATATAAAATGTTATTGATTTCTGATGCGATCCAAATTAAAAATTTTACTTCCGATACTGAAGAACTTTCAGTGAATTAATATAATGTGAAATGAGCTAAAGAAGTAAAAAAGTAGAAAAATGTTAATAGCTAAAATCGGTACTTCTAATATGTACATTATTGTATAAATTGCAAAATTTTTTAAATGGTAGGCATTTGAAATTTAAGGCAATAAAGCGGAAAAATTATGGTTTCTTTAAAACAGGTACAGCATTTTACGCAACTCGGAAGTTTTCATTAGTCTACTTTGTTATTTGCCAAATAGTAATTTTATTTGTTTCTAAAATGGTTCGAAATTGTTATGTTCTTTTTTTTCTTCTTTTTCTCAACTGTTTAAAAAATAACATACAAGAAACGGGTTAAAAACCAGCACGAATGATTTTTACTTTGGATGTAAGTTGGTAAGCTAAAGATTTATGTCCTATTTTTCTACATTCATTTATCTTCCATTCTATTTCTTCTAAATCCGCTATTTATGATATCTAACTATTGTTTCATTCACTCTCTCTAAAATTTACCGTATCGTATCGCATGCAAATATCGGATTAAAATATACTGTCACGTCTAAGTCATATTCGTCCTATTCTGGTAATCGTAGAGGTTAGCATTGTACCAACTTTGACGTGATAACAAATATCAAAATCATTGCCTCTGCTGTTTCTTTTCATACGACACGATAACCATTTTCTATCACCACCATATGTGCATTCGATAGTTCATCATTCCGAAATCTTTTTTTAGATTAAATGTATAAATAAAATTCGAAATCCTGAAAAACTTACGTTTTATTTTAATGTTCAATGGTGTAATGGAGAAGTGTGTAACGTAGATAGAGGAATATTAGAAGCTCAAGATTGATTGATTTCTGCATTGAAAATAATTTAGTAGTAACAAACACATGGTTTCAACAGCCGAATAGAAGATTATACACATGGACTGCACGTGGAAATGTAAACTAAAGAAAAATAAGAAACCGAATATTGCATTATTATAAACTCTCGCTGCAAAAAATGCAGTTAAAAATGTAAAAACATATCCTATCGCCGATGTTTACTCGGATCACAATTTACTGGTAGCTAAAGTAGAAGTCACGTTGAAAAACTTACATAGAAGAAGTAAAAAAAACTACAGCAAATCTCAACATCTTAGAAAGCACCGAAATTGGAGGTAGAATAGCCAAAAAAATTAACAGTAAATTACAAATAATGGAAGTTACGAGTATAATTGATAGAGAAAAAGAATGCAATAATGCGTGGCTAAGTTTCAAGGCCCCGTTCAACCAGGCTTTAAAAGATCTAAAATATACAGAACAAAGTTAAGCCAGAAAAGGATGGATGGCTATGGAAATATTAAACCTGATGGAAGAAAGAAGGAAATGAAAACAAATCGATAACCCAAAGTACAAAGAAGTAAACCAAATTATAAAAAGAAAATTATAGAGGCGAAAGCACTATATTGGGAGAAAGAATGTAAAGAAATTGAATCATTATACATTGGAAATAGCGCTCATCTGCACAAAAAGATAAAAAAATTGACAAATTCCGCGAAAAAAAATAGCATAAGCGTGTTAAGAAATGAAGATGGCAGGGTCATCAGATCCGGATGACAGATTAGAAATGTGGAAAAGATATACTGAAACATTATTTGAAGATGAGAGACCAAACAGAACGGAACAATTGTGTGTCTACAGACCGCAAATATTGACTGAAGAAGTTAAGATAATTTTAAATCGAGCAAAGATTCAAAATCAGGCTTGACGTTGGACCAGACAATATTCCTTACGAAAAGCTGAAAATCATAAATGAAATAAGTTTAATAATACTGGCGAAATTATTCAATAAAATATATGATTCCGGAATTATGCCTGAGGACTGGCTGAAATCGACTTTTGTTACACTGCCCAAGAAGAGCAAAGCTGTCAAATGTGAAGATTTCAGAACAATAAGTGTCACATGCTCTAAAAATAGAAAGATAATAGAAAAAATAGAATTTTTAGAAAGTTTGAAGAATATATTAGTGATACACACTTTGGATTTAAAAACACGGTTGAAACTAGAGAAGCATTAAAAAAATTCTTCTTCAATGGTTGATAATTTTTCCGAAATATGTATAATTTTTTTATTGGTATGAAAAGAAAATTTCCTTTTTCTTTTTTCTTTTCATACCAGTAGAGAAGTTCTATTTATGCTAAATACAATTGTGCGAAGAAGTACTGAAATGAATTCAGAGGTTCATGCGTGCTTTATCGATTTATTCGATAATGTGAGACACTCGAAGAAGATAAAAATGTTGAAAAATGCTAATCTGGACGGGAAAGACATAAGAATCATAATGAATTTCTATTGGAATCAAACAGCTGGGGTTAGAATAATGGATGGCTTGTCTGAAGAAATTAGGATAAAAGAATGCAGCAAGCTGTAGCGACATTCAGTAAGATGGCGAAAATAATTGCAACTGGAACACTAAATCTCAGTTTGAAGGTGAAAATTATTAAGTGTTATCACATTCAGAACTAAATCATCTTGAAGCTTTCAAATTGATGTTATCGTAGAATACTCAAGATTTCATTGGAGGATCGAGTCTCGAACGTGGAGGTACTAAGAAAGATGAATACGGAGAAACTGCTATTGATATCGATAGAGGCGAGAAAGCTCGGGTATCTCGGTCATATCATGAGAGGTGAGAGGTATAACATTCTAAAATTGGTATTGCAAGGGGAAATGCAAGAAGCAGAGGTCGAGTTAGAAAATCATGATCGAAAAGATTGGTGCAATCTTCCCTTCAATCATGTCATAATAAGAGTTAGATCCAGAAACACCTGTAAAATGATGGTATCCAACATCCTAAGAGGAGAGGAATGAAAAGAAGACGATACATAAATATGTATGTATGTATGTATATAAAAAATATTTAAAATGCTGTAGGAGAATCGGAAAATCCTAATCTATTGATCTAAAACTTTTCGTTTGTATGCACATACATACATACATACATACATATGTATATTCATTCTATTTAAAATTTTTTTGAGACATCACGTCAGCTGTTAATACTGCGAACCTAAAAAAAATTTTATCGCAGCTACAGACACGGCTAAGAAAAAGGTATACTTCAGATAACGTGATGTGATAAATTTTTTTATCATATCGGTTACGCGACTAACTGAATATGGCTGAATATCTACATACATATGTATATTACATAAATTACATAAATCTACTACCCATATTCTTAAAGATATACATACTTATATACATACGATTACGTACAATATGTTCTAAATTTGTTAATGCTCTTAACAAAAAATTTAATTTCTATAGAAAAATTTGTAGGAGATGTACAATCAATGATATTTTTGAAGTTTACCGTCAATGAAATTACTGAATCGAGATCAGAGAGAGATCATTCATCATTCATTAACTTTTTGAAAAAAAGTTTTCGTATTCAAAAGTGTTGTCCCAATTCTGTTAAAATACTGCTGTCCGGGCAGGTTAAATTAAAAAAAAATTGATAGTTTTTTGTAATATTTAAATATTTCTTTTAATATTTTTAATTTTTTTGAATTAGAGATTCTTCGTTTCCAGATGTTAAATCTGATCAAAATCAAAATTGATCACGCTTTGCTTAGCCGAAAAATTCTTTTAAATTTTTCAATTTTAAGGACGCACACCAGAGCTTATTCTGTCATTTAATAATTTTTTAAAATTAATTGTCAAACTTGTATGTGAGCTCATTATTCATTACAATTATCAAAATTTTAATGAATTTTGAGATTTGAACGCTCTAGGTAAAAAATTACGCGAATATATTTTTTAACAGATCAGAATTTGCTCTGTTGTGAAATACCACACATTTACAGGGTTAGTTACTGTTTACATTAACCACATAATCTAAAGTTTAATCTGATGAAAAACGTATATGTAAACACTATTTGACATCAGTCTTTGTCCGATGGCAAATAATAGAAATTACTCTATTCTCATCAGGTTAACTGCCAAATTTTATAAAAGTATGGCCAAAAATTAACTTTTTATGAGATCTCGGAACAACGGTCACCAAAAATTAATTGTCGGATTCTTATTCAGTTTATATTTTTCGTAGCAAAATTTAATAATTTTGCAATGGTTACATGTTCGACTTTTATCAGACTCGGATTAAATCTAATATTTTTTCGTATATGTAACAGTAACCAACAATACCACATGAAACAGTTTATCATACATTATTGTCCTACACAATATTAAAACACATTTCAATGTTATGTGTGTTTTACATGAAAGTGTCATTTTTCAGCACAGCTTCTTTATCCGCGACTTATTTTGAAGCGAATAAAGAAGTTTTGCCGAATTACATTTTTCGCCTCATTTTTAAAATACATATTTGGAAAATTTATACACATTTTAATATAAAATAGGTATTATTGAAGAATAATTTAAGGTGTTCTTTGGCTAAAAATTATTATTTAATTTTTTTGAGAAGTTGTAATAATCTTAACTTATATCAATCAAATTATTTTAAAGTTCATGACAAAACAAAATAAATAAAAAAATCAATAAACGAAATGAAAAATGGATCATAGAGCTTATTACAAATACGAAAATGAAGTTTTCAGAATTAAATATGTTTAAAATTTTAAACTTTTTTATATTATATTTTTAAAAACAGCGGTTTCTGTTTCACAATCTGTCATAAATTATACTTGTTAATTTATCATTGAATTTGTTCATTGTTGATAAATCTGGGAGTTGAAATATAAATTTATAAACGCTCCCTTTTTTGAAAACTTCCATACTGAAAGACTTTTCAAGTAAAAATTTCGCGCAGTTTTTTTTTCTTAGAGATGTCAATTTTTGCATTGTCATATTTCATATTTGTTGGAAACTTTAATTTGTTTGAGGAAATTTCAAGAATTTAGAAACTTAATTAATTCCAAACTTCATAAAAAAATTTTGTTTAAATTATGGCTGACGAAGAAGAAATCATAAAAGAATTTAAGGATGTCACAGGTTGCACAGATGAAAGAGCAAGATTTTTTTTAGAAGTCAGTAATTGGACATTGCAGTTGGCTTTATCTAGTTTTTTTGAAAATGAAAGTGAAAATTTTGCTAATGAAGGCTCAACAGACATGCCGTTGTTAGATGATAATACAAACGAGTCACTTTCAACTAGCTCAAATGCAAAACAAGACTCTACAGATGCTTGGACTAAAAAACAAAAGCCTAAAGTTGCTACACTTCATAATATGAATGACCAGTCTTCAGATGACGAAGAGGAGGGTCAAGCTTTTTATGCAGGTGGATCTGAACGGTCCGGACAACAAGTTTTAGGCCCACCGAAAAAGAAAAATTTTAGCGAACAATTGTCAGATCTTTTCAAAATGGCTAGAGAAAGTGGAGCCGCTGTTGACAGTAATTATAAAAGTAATGCACAACAGTGGGGTACTGGTTTAAGACTTGGGCAAACAGACAACGATAGTCAGGTAGTGGGAGGAACATCTGCGCGAAAAAATTCAAATGAAGCAAAGCCAATAATTTTGAAGCTGTGGCGTCAAGGATTTTCTATAAATGATGGAGAATTGAGAGTTTATGATGATCCGGACAACAGAGACTTTTTGGAAACCGTAATGCGTGGGCAAATCCCTTTAGAATTACGACAAATGGGAAATGTGGTTAGCGTTGATGTGGAAGATCATAGAACCAAAGATTATAAGAAGTCCACAACTGTGTTGAAAGACTTTAAAGGTTCTGGTCACACACTAGGCAGTCCTACACCAAAAGTTGAAAATAATTCGTCAGTATCTGTTACAGATAGCACATCCCAAGGTTCAACAGAGCCGATTCAAGTTAATAAAGATGAACCAACCACAATGGTACAAATAAGGTTAGCAGATGGATCTCGAATTTCTTCTCAATTCAATCATACACACACAATTCGTGATATTCGCCAATTCGTATTACATTCAGCTCCGCAATATGTTGGACAAACTTTTGTATTACTGACCTCTTTTCCAACAAAAGAGTTGTCCAATGAAGAAGAGACAATCGAAAAAGCTGGTCTTAAGAACTCAACACTGATGCAACGTCTCAAATAAAAAGATTATAGCCGAGAAACGCTTTAATTTTGCCAATATATTTTATTTAAAAAAAAATAAATTAATAAAAACAGTTTAATTGAAATAAACTTGCACACTTTTAATATCCAAAAAAAATATCTCCAATATCTTCTTTTCAAAAACTTAAAGATTTTTGTAAGCGTGGTATATTTATTTGAAATAATATAAAATTTAAAGCAATAAAAAAAGGATGTAGAATATCTGTTTCCAAACAAAATTTAGTTATTACCCTTAAAGAATTTTTACGTTAAAACTTAAAGCTTGGTACTTATATTGAATTTAAATTTAGAAACTAAATTATGTAATAGCTTGCTTTTCGACATAAGTCATAATACACGGTATTTTTCTATAAACATTTTAAATGAGATACATTAAAAGTTGTTTTTATTTTTAGACTTTACAGCATTATATAACACACTATGCCGAATTGTTACAATTGATCAAGCTACGCTATTATTATATTTACTTTTACACCGAAATCAAAAGTTTTATAGATTTGTAATGTCTCAACATAATCTACAGCAGTTGGTTATACCAATATTGCAAACGTTATATAATGCACCAGACAGTACATCACATCATATATACATGTCTTTGATTGTTTTATTGATTTTAAGTGAAGACGATGGATTCAACAAAAATATCCATCAAATTATATTAAAAAATATAACATGGTATACAGAGAGAACTATTTCTGAACTAACTCTTGGGGGTCTTTTAATTTTAGTAGTTATACGAACTATACAATATAATATGCTGAAAATGAGAGATAAATATTTACATACTAATTGTTTAGCAGCGCTTGCGAATATGTCTGGGCAATTTCGTTCTCTACATCCATATGTAGCACAACGTTTGGTTAGTTTATTTGAGACTTTAGCAAAAAAACACGCGAGACTGGACGCCCAGTTACAAGAACCAGCCAACGGCTCAGTTGCCGTTAATGTTAACAATACACCAGATGATATGTTACAAGATTTAAATGTACTGGAAGAAGTGTTGCGAATGGTTTTAGAAATAATCAACTCTTGTCTTTCGAATCAATTAGTTTATTGCCCAAATTTAGTTTACACATTATTATATAAAAGACAAGTATTTGAAAATTTTAGAAGTCATCATGCTTTTCAAGATATTATACAAAATATTGATATGGTAAAACTTTTGACATATAAGTTTAATTGTTTTCGTTATTTTGTTTTGATATATGTATATACATAGGTAGTGGGTTTTTTTTCATCTCGTCTGCAACGTGTGCAGGAACAACGAGGCGAATTGGGTGTTAATGAAGTATTGGAAGTGATATCAAAAGGTGCTAGCCAATGGTCCAGTGATCGTCTAAGAGTAATTTAATATAACAGTTTTAAACAATTAAATTAATTTCAATTTATTATAGAAATTTCCTGATCTTAAATTCAAGTACGTTGAAGAAGATGCTCCAGAAGAATTTTTTATACCTTATGTTTGGACATTAGTATGCAAATATGGATGCGTTCATTTTAATTCAGAAAATATCAAATGCGTAACAACAGAAATAAACTGCTAATAAATGAGTTTGTAATTAAAAATTTCAAGTTTTGATATTAGTATGTACTTCTTTTTTTGTTAGTTTTGCTGTCTTAACCTTTTTATTTAAAACCTATTAAATAAGAACGATAAAAATATTTTTACAAATTATAATATATTCTTATAACATTTAAAATATTTAATTTGCTGAAATAATGTAAAAAAACAAGTATGTAACTGAAATTAAACAAAATTTCCCGAAATTTATATTGACTTTATTTTCGCCTTCAATATAAATTTTAATATACTATATACTACAAATTTAAACATAATTTCTTTAGATAACCATTTTAAACACGTATTTTTATTTTAAGTAAATACTTTTTGATTAATAATCAATCTCTTATTTAAAAAAACTGGCAACTTCCTAAAATTAAAATAAAAAAATAAAGCAAGCATTTTCTGCTTGGAAAAGTACTGGAAGTATATACAGTGGAATATGTTATTTTTAAAGCTTAAATACAATAAAAATTTCATTAGATAAATTTTTTAATCATGGAACAATTGCAATACGGAATTACTGTTTTATTTAACACTCCTGAATTTGTCTTATCTTGACATGAAAAATAAAATTACTTAATAATATATAGTGAATTATTAAGAAATAATTAATATTAATTATTATGATACAAAATAACCACGTTAGAAGCAATTTATTTTACTTTTAGTTATTATAAAATATTACTAGGTATGTATGTAATATACAAAAAAGGGAATAAGGAATAAACTGTATGTATGTATATACATATATTCGTATATATTTTTAATAATTTTAGATTTTAAATTTCTCAATTTCAGAGTAATTTTGAAAAAAAAAACCTAATTTTATTTAGAAAATTAAAGTAAAAAAAAACATAAGTGCAGTGGCTATTTGCAAATTAAAAAAAAATTAGTCAAACTTAAAGTTTGTAAAAGAGCGCATTCACCTTGTACACCTACTTTGGTAGCAAGTGTAAATGAAGCTTTCCAACAGATTGATCGAATGTAAATCCACTGAAGTCGAAATAATTCCATTATGATCCATGTAACATCGAAATATAAAAGAAACATTAGGCTAATGTTTTTAAAAAAATTAATTCTAACATAAAAATTGGATGGTATTGCTAGTTAATTTAGTTAAGCCAATAACTTTAATTTTGTACCTTTTATGCAAAGCAAAAATGTTTCTTTTTTTATTTGATGGAAGGAAGCTAGGAAAGATAGGAAATCAAAATGTTATATTAAAATAAAAAAAACTCAAAGGAGAAAGAAAGATCAAGTGGATGTATAAGGAAATTTTTGATATAAAGTTAAAACTTCGGATTTGACACTTATCTAATATCAATAAGGGTTAATTGTGCAGTCTAGTATTGATTATTTTGTTTAGGTAAAATAAAAACGTTTTCGAACTTTTTTACATGTTAACGATTTTAAAATTTCTAAATGTAGCATTGAAATTGTTTATTTAAATTTTATAATGTTTCAAAACGAAAAAATTGTGCTGTGTAAATATTGTGGCTGTCGGCAGTGGAAATAAATAACAATAACAAAAATATTTAATTTTTTTCCAAAAAATTATGATATTATCGTCATAATTTATTGTATTCGGTCAATTTATGTAAACTATATGTATAATTATGTTATATAGTACATAAGGAGATTTTCGATTATTCAGAAATGTACTGAAACTTCTTAGGATCTTAAAAGTTTTTAAGATCCTAAAAGTTTTTCAATATCCATAATTTTCCTACTGTGCTATTCTTCTTTACCGTATAGTTATGAAAAAAATTAAAAATTCCTTTAGAATTTTAAGCACAATTCTCATTTTGAACATTCAAAAGATTTCGCAGTTTAGATTTATCGCACGTGCTTTATATTGAGATCTAAGTTAGAACTGAATTATCAAAAATCCCCTAAATCTTGCTGTTATTTTTTAGTTTTTTATAAAATGTACTTACTTTATTGTGAAATTCTCTCCTCTTTTTCGTGTGTTTTTAAAGCTTACAAAAACAAATGCTTTGATATTTGACAATTTGTTTATTTTTAATTTAGATTCCAAATGTAATATCGTTTAATTTTTTTTTATATGCGCTTTGAAAATTTTTACAATTTTTTTAAATATTTTTTTCATTTTTCATTCTACTAAATTATAAACCTACACTTTTATCACAAACTTGTTACAAGTCTCATCATAACATTTTACTAAAAATATTTAAAAAATTTTTTTAGGAAAAAGTATTGCACTACGTACATCCATAATGTTCTTCTTGAATATCTAATTCGAGAGTAAATAGTGCAAAACAATAAACTAAATAATTTTGAAAAACATGAATTTCAAACGTACATAGATCTTAAAGAAGTTTAAATTTTTAATGAATTTTAATCGCCAAAAAAAGTTTGTGATGTTCTTTCACAATAAATATTTACTTATGCTTTCGAAAAATTTGAATATTGAAAATAAAATTTATAACTCACACAAGTTTAAGAAACATTCTGTTTCTATTACTAATTTGCTAAATGAAATGTGGTAGCCTTTCTTAGCTTACCTGCTAACAGAAACATAATAATAATAATTTTAAATTGTGCATGATTGACATAATTTTTCATTTTCGAACAACATCGCGTTTTTATTTGCTAAAATTTTAAAAATATATAAATAATCTGAAAAAGTAACAAAAAAGAACTCAAATTTTTACAAAAATTTCAGTTTAAAAATTTAATAATGATTAAATATGCGATTTGATTGATAGTCAAACATTTTATAATCAATATTCATTACAAACCTTCTATTTATTAGCGTTTTTAAGCATCCTAAGATTCTTTTATTTTAAATATTAGTTATATTTTTAACTAATATTTTGTTACTTATTAAAAATAAATTACATATAAACAAAATACTTAAATGAAATAAAAGTAAACCAAATAGGGATTTAGGTCACTACTAGATTAAATATGATGCTAATAATTTTATGACCACATTTATATATACATATCATTGATGTCTATTTTTTTATTGTTTCCGCCACTCAACTTTAGGACTACTCGTTAATAACATTTGTTTCAAACTGACTGATGATATTGCAATACCAGCCGCAGCCAATGCAGCTGCTGAATAACTTACCAATTTGTCTGATTTGTTGGCCGAATTTGATGAAAATTCAATCATCTATAAAAATCAAGAATGTAAATAAAATAGAGAATAAATAAAAAATTTTCAAATAGTTAATTTCAATAATTACTTATATTATATAAATTTTTTAAACACAATGTATTTAGTGTTTAAAAAATTTATTTGGGTAATCCCTACATCAATAACCTCAATTTATTTATAGTTTTATGCTTTATTATTATTACAAATATTAAGTAAATGAAATTTTTGAAAACTCCTCAAGAGTTTAAGTATGATAATTGCAAGAATTTAGAGAAAATGGCTTTTAGAATAAATTAAATATGAAAAAATGTTGTTTGAGGTGCATCCTACCTTTCTAATGTTTTATCTTACCCTAGCTATTAACTTAATATTTTTAATCCTAAGTACCGTACCTATACACTTACTTATGTATACTTAACTATGTATATACGCATAAAATAGTATTCAGTAATAATATTTTAATTTATATACGTAAAATGTATTTTGAATCTAGGTTTCACTTAAAAATTTTAAACTGGAATTAACTACAATGGATGACGTCAACATAAATTTTTTTGGAAAGCAATAAGTAATTGAAATAAATCAAAAATTTATTGCGTCTGAACTGACGAAAACAATTAATGATACTTTGAGATCTTTAAAATTATTTTTGATTTTCTTTGATTTTGCTTAGTCGCATTCAACTTTAATGTTTTGTTTTAAAAATATTATATATGTATATGTATATATATGCAGAATGTTTCATATACATACTATGTATGTAGGTAATTACCTACTTATTGAATCCTGTATTATTTATTATATCATGATTTCAATTAATGGCAGATAACAGAGGCTGACCTTGCAATCTATGTATGTACTATAATTATATATGAGCGTATGTATATTTTTTTAACTATCGAGTTAATCTTATTTTAAATTTTTTTTATTCAAAAAATAATTTCAAAAGCTTTTGCCTTTTAATAAACAAATACATAATTTACTACATTTCAAATAGATACTAACAGACTTCTGGAGAACTTGAAATTTAAATATTTTCAATGCACAATTTCAAAATCAAAAAACATAAAAAAATAAAGAGTTGTAATAAAATTATTATAAAAGTAGAATCATTAAAAAATAAATTAAAATAATGAAATTTTAAAACGGAAACATACTTAGATGCGAAGACTTTAAGCATTTACAAAGTAGAAATGGTTATAATATTCCCTAAAATCTCTTTGAAAAAATATTGAAAAAAGATTTTAAGCAAATTTTTATTAACTAGCGTTCTTTCTAGTGCAAGTTCAAATAAAAATTGAAATACTCTTCTACAGGAATCGAACGAAAGAAATCTATGAGTTAAATATCTATGAGTTTGACCATATACATATGGTAAATGTGTGTTATATGTAGACCAAATAAACCAAATATTTTACTTTCTATGTTTGAAATTATATCGCTCCTTTTAAATATTTTGTTCAAAATTGATATAACGCAAAATATTTTAGTAAATTGGGTATTAAATTATGGTAATTTGGAAATATTCCAAATAATTGTGCTTGTCTGTATATGTACATTCATACATACATAATTGCTTTCTAAATATAGTTTCCAAAGTTAATCGTAAAGTAAAAAAATAAGTAAATAAGTCCTATAACTTATACCTATTTCTATAATTTCTTTTCACGTAGGTAAATGTGTATGAATGCGGAACAGACACCGTGCACATTGCAAAAGTGAATTAAACCAGCAAATACATAATATTAATTCTTACTGCTTACTTAGTAAGAAAAATTTTAATTTACATATTCACATATAAAATATTAAGAATACTTTTACAGTCCGTATTGGCTATGTGCAAGTCAATTACTTTGTCCCCGCTCAAAATTAAAAAAAAAAAATTCTAACGGTTCATGTGGTTCAAATCGGTCTGCTTAATATAAAAAGTTACACTTACCTGACTTAAATTTAATTTTACTGCGTATTTTGCAATGGAAGTAGTTTTCATTTTGTCTTTTTATTAGTACAATTAAATTTAAGGACAATCCTGGAAATAAAGCATATGTAAAGAAAACTACGGCTTAAGATTATGTAATAATGCATCAATTTACCTTTTATTTTTTTCTTTGAAATTTTGTTTGAAAACTTTTTTTGTTTATTTTTTTCAACAATTTTAATTGAGTTACTCCGCCAATTGAAGCTTTTATCAATGAATACTCGACTGAGTTATTTAAAAAATTGAAACATAAAATTTCTTTTGTTTGTGGTACATACAACAGCATTCAAGAGAACGCAGAAGGTGAAAGAAAAAGAAAAGAACAGCTGTTCGTAATTACCTTGACATAATAAAAATACAAGCTTGAACCAGGGATGTTACCATTGTTGGCATTTATAGCGACCCTTCGCTAAAACAACAAAATTTAGCGATGACATTTATCGAACTTTTACTCTAGAAATAGCGAGCAATTTATAATATTAGGGTTTCTTAGCGACTTCATCTAAAAAATAATTTTTGAATTATCTCAGTATTATGACACAAATGAAGTTTGTGAAAAAAATTTTATTCAGCGCTTTATAAGAACATTTTAAGTTGAAAACAGCCCAAAAGCGATTTTCCACCACGAAATGTCAAAATTAACATATAGTCATAAATAAATGGGGCTCCCGAAATCTAGCGAAATTACCATCGTGATTGCTGTGAAATAGCCTAAACTCTTATTTAATCACTGGCGGTTTTTTTGACAACTGTTTTCATGTGTGTGTGACATATACAAAATGCTGAACTGTTGAACATTGTAAATCGTCCGCCGTTCTTGTTTACCGCTTTGACTTTCTAAACTAATTGAAATATTAGATAAAACAATCTTAAAGCAAGGCTAAACTCTTAATTTGTATTATACTAATTCCAATAGCTTTTTTCTTATGTGTTTATAAATCGGTAAAATACGTCTGATAGCTTACGCGATAGTCAATTTTACAGTTCTACGGCAGCATTCGCAAATCAAGAAAAGGGATCAAAATTTGAAACATTTGGATTTGGAAACACGCAATTTAATTAAACTAAATAATATAAGAAAAATAGGATTTTGACCTATTTTCCATCAAATTTTTTGACATTCGAAAGAATTAAAAATTGCGGAGTATGTCAACTGTTAAGTTAATATCAAAATATTTTTCTTGATTTTAACAAAATCATAATGAGCGATGTTAGTGTTGGCGAGCTATCGGTATAAAGATAACAAATATATTTAGTAAATCGATATATCTTCGCAAAACTATCGCAATGTTTTCATAGTTCAGAAATGTGCAAGCTGAATAATATAATTCACTTACCCAGCATTTACACGTACAAGTTACTTGCAAGAAAGTTGCAATACATACAAAAATTTTACTAACACATTGAAATATTTCTACTTGCTTGTTTACTTGCAGTTCAACTTGCAAGAAAATTTTGCTGCCAGTAATTTGAGCAAGTAATTTGACATATTGAGAAATTCACAAAAAAAAATTTATTGTTTTGATTTTTTTTTTTTTTTAATTTAAAATTTTTGAATTTTGTTTTGAAAAAATTAAACTTAGCAAACTTATGGTTTCTAAAATTTATAAACAATTATATATATTGCTAGTTGTTTTCTTCTCAAAGACATTTTCAAAAATTAACTTGCTAAACGCCTACGTCATAATAGCAAGTAATTTGACATTTCGAAAAACTAATTGACAATTAATATTATACAAACTTGCATGCAAGTAACTTGTATGTGTAAATGCTGGGTTAGAGAAAGCATTTAATAAACGCCCCGCTGTATCCAAATGCAAGTGTTTGACAAATGCAAGTGTTTCTCAATTTTGACATGATTATCAATAAGTATCTCTGTTTGTTCATTCCAAAGAGAGAATGAAACCAATATACTACTCAATGATAGGTTCACGAAATATTCAGGAATGAAATGTAAGAACTTAAGCAGGAAAAAAACATTTTAAATTTTCTTAATTAAAATGAAAAACAGATAAGGTTCTATATAATTTTTTTTCATTTAAATTTTAAGATTTCAAATTATTAAAAATATTTAATTTAAGAAGATTTTAAACAGTTTATTTAACGATAGTATTGTATCAACTTTTAAAATATTGATATTTTCGGTACTTGGAAATTATCGATAGTGCGATTGACAATTTTCCACCACTAACCGATTGTTATGCCTATATGTCACATTTTATACCACACCACACCACGGCATATAGCATATTATCGCGTGAAAATTAATTTAACCTGAGTTGGTAAAAAAGTAAGCACAGAGGATCTTAAACGATGGAGCTTTCTTCTGATGCTAAAGAAAGATTAGGACTTGTCTTTGAAGCTGCTAAAACTGTATTTCACTGGGGTTTTATTCCCACAGTTATATATTTAGGTAAAAAATTAACTTTATAAAATGTTGAAATTGAAGAAAAAATGTTTTTCAGGCTTTCAGAAAGGTCCGGAACCTGGTATGCCTGGGTTTACTTTGATGAGCCTTCTATGGCAATAAGAAATTAATTTGTTCAAAAAAATTTTTTAATTTAATAAATAGGTAATAGACAAAACTCATTTGAATTAATTAGCTTTCATTGTTAAATTTAATGTTATGTGTAGGCATCGACGTACACATTATCTTTAACATTTATGTAAGTACAAATATGACTTGAAACAGCAAACCTTATCAATAAAAAAAATTTGTGTCGGAGAATAAAAGAATTTCAAATTTCAGTATGAAATTTATTTTTCAATTTGTGTAATGTAACTATAAATTTAGTTTAAATTTTTCTCAATTTTAGTCATTATAAAAAAACTACGATTTCCAGATGTTATTTACTTAGTTACATTAAAAGTGAATTCTTTTGACATTTAAAAAAAGAAACAGGATTTAAATAAATTTGTAATTTAATAGAATTTTTTACAATTTTTAACAAAAAAGGTATTAAAAATACTGTTATTTATAGACCTGATGTTATTGAATAAGTCGCTAAAAATACCAGCTAGATGCAGGTATAGTTTACGAGCCTTACATTTAAAGGATTAGCTTTTGTTTAAAATGTACAACGTGAAACAATTTAAGCTATACACATTTTTGTGACCATGGGCGAACTGAACAATGCAGACCACATTTTCGATGAGAAAAATATGAATTTGATTTGAATGATACTGAATGCTGAAAATATATTTGTGCGTACAAATATGTTTACCTATACATTTCAGATGTAGATTTATTTTAATCTGCGTTACTTTTAAAGATCATAATATACTCCAAAATACTCAGGATTAATTGGTTACATAATTTATAAATGGAGCTGTATTATACGAGAACTTGTTATAAGGATTGTTTGTAAAAAATTAGAATTTATTTAAAAGTAATTATTCTGGTTTTCAATAAAGAAATTCAAATTTCAAAATTAATTATATTTGGAAAATCACCAAATTTTTGAATAATAATCCATCACATTAAGTTATGCGGTTAATGCAGTATGGAGATTAAAAAAATAACTCAGTTAAAATTCACTTCATTAAAATCAGCTAAATTCTTATCCCGGTTTTTTTAAAAACTAAGAATCCTCCAGTCCATATCATGACAAAAAAATACAAAAGCAAATCCCATTCAAAAAACATGCTATCGGCACTTTCATACAAATGAAACAAAAGAACGGAGATCAGATCATATTTATGTATGCAGTAAATTTAAGATTTGTTAGTTTACCCAAGTTTGATGTAAGTCATTTATGTAAACATCAGATTTACCAGAAGTTACGCTATTCTCATCATTTTTAAAAGGAAAATGACGGAAACTACGTAAACTTTCTTGAAATTTTCAAACAAACATCAAAGTACGTATTAATATTGTAAAAATTGTATTCCAAAATGTATCAAAGCTTTAGCAGTTTTCTTTTACAATGTAAGGTATTGAAAACTCTCAGACAGTACTGCAATCGTATGAATGATAACATTCTCCTTTTCTCAATGTTTAAAGCAAAGTATATCTATAAACAAGTAATTGAACTTTGCGCTTACATCACACTAATGCAATCGCTCACCAAAATTGTATACAAAAAATGCCCTTTGCTAAAAGAGTTAAGTAGTATACCTTCTTATTTTCAATTTTATACGCATAAGAATTTTTGGGAGAGGGAAAGAGTACGCAATAGATGTATACTTTTTTTTATAATGTATTTTTAAAAGCGGGAGTTATTTATTTTTCCCTATATAAAAAAATAGGAAAAAATATTAAGAATTTTAAAAGCGGGAGTTTTATTTTTGTAAATTATTCCAGTACAAGGTCGCAAAAAAGGTGTATTCATATTATAAAAGCGAAGCGGAAAAAAAGTGTTAAAAAAATTATTATAATTTTGAAAAATAATAAAAATAAATTTTAAAAAGACGTATATTAAATAAAAATTTAAATAGTTGTGAAAAAAAAAATTTTTATAATAATGGGTAAACATTATTTGAAGTGTTTGGGTTGTAATATTGTGTGTGAGGCAAAAAAGCCGACACGAAATTTAATTTGTTGCCAAGAGATGTGGAGAGCTTTGTTCTTTTAAATGAATTAACTATATTTCATAAAGTAATCAGTATGCATACACCTTTTTTTCTTTATAAATGTACATGCATGTGTACATTCATACATGAAATTTCAAACTCTTTTGCTTTCATACATTCGAATTTTTTACCTAACTTTAAAAAATGAAAAATAAATTTTGTTATTATCAAAACAAAAATAACAAAATTTTTACCTTAATTTTATTTTATTTTAGTTCAATGTTTTTGATACACTCGTTTGTTTACAATATTTTGTTTCTTTCTTGCCTACACAACTCTTATTACCATCTTTTTCGAAATAAAAATGGAATATTTTAAGAATTTGGAAGCAAAATGCAAACGAAAACTAATGGAATAGAACGAGTCGAACTACTTATTATAGATATACATACTTTGGTTTAAAGTTTTTTCAAGTTTTGTAAAGTAAAATTTAGTTAAAAAAACTTTTAAAATATTAGTTGTCGAAACATACATACATATATTTTTCTTGGTTATGTCAGAAGGTTTTATTTAAAAAAAAAATTCCACCAACAATAACTTTTTAATCAAAATTCTCAATTAAAAATAAAATAGAATAACCAAAATGGGTTCACAAATGGTTTTTTCTAAGTTTGTATAATCCAAAATTCAAATTTTCGATTTTTGGTGTAACCAAAAAATATTTGTTTAAATAGTTGTTTATAAATTTTTAAGTTTTTTCAAGTTTTCCATCTAGTTTATTTTTTTTTTAAATAAGAATTTTTTTTCTTTTTGCAAGAAATTTCGTTATTGTTTCAAGTTTTATTCCAGACTTTAATTAAAACTTCCTGGCCAATCACTTGTCCATGTAAACGCTCGGTCAAAAAAGTTGACTTACCTTTAAGACGTGTTTGCACATACGACGAAATCTACGATTTTACTGAAATTAACCATTCATCTCACTCGAAAATTACATTATTCATTTCTCTTTTTTTTTTATATTTTGTCGTATTTGTAACAGTACCTTATTTGCTGTCAGACGAAGTGTGATGTCAAAAGGTATTTCAAAAATTTCAATACGTTGAGTAGTCAAATAGCTCATTTAAAATGTTGGGTATTAGAACATTTTCACAAAACAGTTGAAATTAATCCTTTGAAAATTTCAAGTCAAGTGGCGTTTATGTGAGCTTATAAAACCGTTTGAATCGCCTTCAAGTTGCATATAAACGGAATAAATAACTAATTTCTTTTATTTGCCATCAGACAAAAATTTCATCAGATTCAGATTAAATTCTAAAATTTATATTATGTGAACAGTAAGTGAAAATTTTTCTCTCATCCCTACTTAGAGTAAATTTATGTCACATTAAACATTGCTAAGGCATTTTGGAAGTTATTCATATTAAAACTTTCTCGTTGTTATTTTGCCAACTCCCTTCTGTAAATAAATTTTTTGTATTAAAATAAAAGTGATTTTATAAATAAAATTATGTTATTTTGTTTTGAAAACATATATTTATTAATATTTTAAAATATCCGGATCATATTATTTTTTAATATTTCGTTATATTAAAAGAGAAATAAATGTAATTATTTATTCTGTTTGAAGTTATTTTGACAATATTAAATCGACTTACATATTTCGGGTGTGGAATTTTTTAACAGAAAGCGCAAATATGAGCTTTGTAATTTTTGTTTTACTTCATCCAATCGCTAATAAAATGTGATTGACAATAAAAATAATGGCTAAAACTAATTCTTTATACGTTGTCGGACTGACTTGTCTCGGTTTTATTTGCTTTGCTTTAGCATCGGCAGCAGTAGGTATTCCGATATGGGGTCATTTTCAAAGTGTTGGAGGTGGTTACATGGAGGAAACTGGATACTTCGGACCATGGCGGGTTTGTAAATTTCTAAGCTATTTTCGTGAAAAATGTGGTACCGACATATCTAAATTTAGACCATCAGTTGCGGTTTTTGCAAGTGGGGTTTTAGCTTCGTTGTGTGCTGTGGCACTTGCAATTTATAGTTTATTAAGCGTAATACAAATTGCTATGGTTGCTTCACAAGAAACAATCGTAATGAAATATAAAAATTTAGTATTATTGAAAATGATTTTAGGATTAACTGCTTGCATACTGGCTATTATTTCAGCTGCCTTATTTGCTGTCCAAATGGATGAATCCAACAAAAATGGTTATATTATAACTCGTGGTGTTTCATTTTATTTGCAAATTGTAGTTGTTATATTAACTATTTGTCTTTTTGGGTTAACATTATATGATGTATTATCATCAAGAAAAAGTGGCGGTGATCCAACAATGTTAATTAGCAGTGATCCAGGAAACTCTGCAAGTGCAATTACAATTAATAACCCTGGATTTAGAGAAGGAAGACGAAAAACAAGTTTCAAAGGCGTGTCAGTTACTGATGCTTCCGGTAGACCATATGATGATATAAAAAATGGCAGTGTAATTTCTGTTGATACAACATTAACCAGCGTGTCAAATTCAACGCTTGAATCAGTTACAAGATCTCCACTGAGATCAAGTTTAAAAAAACCCCGACCCCCTGGTGAATTGGGAATTAGAAATCCAGGTTTTGCAAATCATGAAGGATCCCCGAGTATGAGGCGAAATGGTAGTATGAAAAAAGTTAGAATTAATGTCCATAGTACAGATGTTTAAGCCTCTTCTAAGTTTATTGTTCTATTGTATTCTGATTTTGATATTTTTGGAATATACAATAATATTATGCATTATTAAACATTAATGTAATGTTATGCATTATTGTGCTTAACATATAGTTCAAAAAAGGTTTTAGTAAATTTTTTTTAATTATTTTTAGATTCAAATAACATTTACGGTCTATGAATATCAGTTACAAATATTAAAGTAGAAATTAACTAATTTCTGTAAGAAACTATTTAAATTTACCAATATATGTATACATATATACATATTTGAAAATATCAAACATAAAAAAGTAATTTCAATATAGCACAAAAGCACATTTTATGAACATAAATGAAAAAAACAAAAAATTTGGTTTTAAAATTTAATATAATCTTAAGAAATAAAGAGCTGACATCACAAATTTTAATGTTTCATGTTTATTACTTGTTCTTATTTATTTCGGTAAGAAACTTAATTGAATAAGAACATTTTTTAATTAGTAATTATTAAACATTTGTTTTCTATATTATAATATGAATTAATTTGAAAATTTTTATAGAATAAAATAATTAACGAAAAAAAGGTTTAGGTTATTGTAAATATAACCAGTATACCTAAAATTTAAGACTGTAAAATAAAAATAATTATGAATTATGTATATATTTTAATGAAAAAACATAATTCAAATATACATACATAGGTATATGTAGATATAAAGCAAAGTATATATAAACTCGAATTTAAAACGATTTACTTCACAACCTTGTTCGAAGTAAAAAAAATTCGAATCTCAGTGGATTACGCAATAAAATATTTGTACAAATATTATCTAGTTGCATTAAAATTAACATTCAAATTTAATATAAAACGACCAAGAGATTTGAAAAATAGAAACGGATTTGTATTTAGTAAAATATTTAAGATAAAACTAATTATCAATACGTAATATATACGCACATTAGAGTAAAAATTAAATAAAAAGGTGAAACTTGAAAAAGGAACAAAAGAAAATACATTCCTTATATTGTTATTAAAAATTTCTATAAAATACAAAAGTAAAGTTTTGTTATAAGAAATTCGAATTGCCTTATAGTAAAATAATTAATGTCTTGTATATTTTTTTGGATACTTATTGAATGAAAGCGGATAATCAACTATTAAATAAGTGCTTATGACTCAAATTATTGCAAAAGATAGAAAAATAGTTACATATCTTTTTGGATACTTTTTGCATTAAATTAGATAATTATTCACTAAGTGCTTATAAGGATTTTTAATAGTTTTTTAATTTAGTCCAAAAGGTAATAATGAAAATTCATAAACATAAACTCAAATTTCTTGTTATTTTAATTTAAAAATATAAAATATTTTTGCACAAAATTTTTTTATTTCAAGTAAAAATTTACAATATAACTTAATGAATTTGGTCACTCTTGGTCTACAGTTTTTATAAATAAAACTTTAAGTAAAAAATTAGTTTTTATGTATTTAATAAGAATCTTGTTTGTTTCTCTGTTTTTTTATATTAACTTTATTTCTACATTTTTGTTTTTGATGTACTATTAAGTGTAAAATCTCTTTAAACTATTTATTATTGTTAAAAAATGTAATAATTTTTATATTTAAATAGAGTATTTAGGTACTAGTATATTTTATTTATAAAGATGACACTTGTATATGACAGTAACTTTTACATTGAATATATTGGCCAAAGAATTGCTATTAAATTGATATGCGTGAAAGTAAGAATTCAATTCTTAGTGCTCAGAATTTTTTTAAATGACTCTGAACGAACTATTTTGATTTTATTATAACAGTGGAAATTTCTCTTTACTCTTTTATACAAAGTGTCATCTAATAATCAAATCATCATATCAAATTATAGATGTGATAAAAAATAAAATGTAATAAAATATTTTGTTTGAATGTATGTATAAAACTAATTCTCGTTAAAAACGTAATTACGTAAAACGTTAAAAAATTTATAGTAGATAATCGTGCTCTACGAAAAATTTTATTGCATTAATGTTAAAATATTCCGTCCATAGGAAAAAACTTTTAATAATTTGTTACTTCATTATAAAAAATTATTAAAAAAATATATAGATATATATTTTGAGCAATTTATGTGTAAGTCAAATCTTAGAATTAGTATTAGCTATTAAAGAAATTATAATAAAACAATTGTTTGATTTTAGATAATTACTTCCTATTATAGAATCGTAAGCAATTTTATGAGAAATATGCATTTCGCAAACAAATAAAATAAGAATTGGTGATCCAATATAATTTTGCTTTAACTTTTCATTTTTGTTTTTGTTTAGTACTAATTTTATTTCAACTTATGTGAAGCTTTCTTTGCAAATGTTATAACAATAAATCGGTTTCAAGTTCCTTGCTATACCGTTCCTTTTGAAAATTTAAAATTTCATTTCTTTTTGGAGATGAAAGTTTATTTAAACAATTAAAATTATTTATTGATAAAGAAATAACATCTTTTAATTTTTTTGTTAGAAAATGTACATTGTGAATTAAATCGCAATTTTGCAGTAATTTGAAATTAATTCGTGTAGGAAGATCCTCCAATAAACTATGAATAAACATTAAAGCATGAGAATCCGACTTTGTGTGTAAGGTGAAATAAAAATTATTCGTCGTTATTTCATCTACTTGAAATTTTAGAATACTTCCATTCCAAAAACAAGAATCAAAACATATGTATGTCTTAACAAAGCCTTCTTTATTTATATCGATATAACCATCATCAATTTCCATTTCATCAATTTTTTCGCAAATAGATTTATGATTAATTTCTTTAAAGTTTAGTTTATTTTTAAGAATATTTTGAATTTCAATTGTTAAAAATGTTTCATTTTCATCTTTGATTTCATTTTGTAACAAAAACACATGTCTTTTTGAAGTTTCGGCAACCGTTAAAAAATTAGACATTGTTTGTATATTGCTTACTTTTTTATAGGAATCAAGTAAATCGATAACTGGTATTTTTAAAGATTTAAAAAATACACTATGATGAAATATATTTTGTTCGTAAGCTAGTTCAAAATTTATGAAAATATTACAATAACTAGTGGAAAGGGTACGAAAATTGTCGATAGATGACTTTAGCAAAATAACTGCAATAGAACCCGGTTTTAAATTATTGTTCTGTATTAGAACGAAATTTTCATCGAAACTAATTTTATCAACCTTTGTATCTTCAAATTTAAGGTATTTAATGTTCTCCGTATCACTAATATTTACATTTTTTTCGAGTTCATAAAAACTGTACTCGAATGAAATTTGGTCTTCATTTTTTTTACTTAAAATTGGTTTAATATTCAATAACGTGGTTAAGTTTTCCGTGCAGTTATTAACTACTGGAATGCCTATGATTAAATATTGATTATAAATTTTTGTCCAAATATCACCGTACTTTCCTAGTATTGACTTTTCATCAATATTTAGACTTCGTATAATATTACAACCAAATGTTGATCTATTTTTTAGTGACATGAAATTTTTTCTTGTGTTTTGCTTCTGTCTTTCATATTCTGTTCGAACTTTCTTTGTTACTTCTAAGAGACTTTTAGCTTTGGCAAACGGAATATTTCTATGTATTTCAGGAATGTCATCTTCCTCGACCTTAATCAGATCAGGTTTTTGTGTTCCTTGGAAAAAAATATATATATCGGCTTGGTAAGCGGTATTCAGGTCACAAATTTCGAACTTTTCGACTTTGTCAAGCACTTTCACAACTTTGTATCCATTTGCTTTCTTCAAAATCAAGATTTTATTAAAAACTTTTAAAATGACATAAATTGCTTTGGAGTTTCCGTAGTATTTAATATATTTTCCTATTTCAATTAAATGTGTCTTCGATGAATCTCTTGCGATCCTTGTGGTTTGTGATTGTTCATTTACAGAAAATTCTTTATTTCTAACTTCCATTAAAGTTTTTTGTTCAGTCGGACTTAGATCATTAAAAAACTCTGAAAGGTCAATTTCTGATAATTGGGTATTGTTTATATATTCGTAGAACCCAAATTTATTTGTTAAAAAGACTGTCGATCGCAGTTGCCTAAAGTTTAAGGACGACGCAAACAAAATCCGGTTATGAAAACTTTTTGGAATATTTGCCTTAAAGCTCATTTCGTAAAAAAAAAACTAACTTTTAGGAAAGTTTAAATTATCTTAATTCAAAAATAAAATTGAAATTAATTCTTTAATCGAATGAATTGATATCCCTTTTTCAGTTTTTGCATATTCTTTATTTACAGTACCCCGGTTCTTTTCATCTTAATTCAGTAACTTTTGTTTACCTTTAAATTTTAATGTCAAAGTAAAGCTGCCAAAATTTCTAATACCAGTTTACATTACCAAACGGTTGAAAATTTAATCATTAAGGGCCTGATCAAGTGAGAAGAATTATTCAGTATTGCATATCTCTTTCTTTTCTAAAATGTAAAGAAAATTTATTTACTTTATTTTTGAAAGTGAGACCTTCAGTCGACAATTTGAGTCTTCAGTCAGATAAAATTTTGAACAGCTGCAATTCAATCATGCATATATTGAAAATTGTTTTCTTTTCTAAAAATAGGACTGCCCTTCTTATTATTTGAAAAATTTATTGTTGTTGAAAAAAAATTTTTAAAAATAAAATCTTCTGATATAAACATATGTTTTGACAGCTTTATAATCATAAAGCTGCCATTATAATTTTTTAAAACAGGAAATTTTATTTAATAAAGCTTGAAAAACTTTAAATATTGATGAAATGCTGATTCTAAAACCTTATAAATTTTTATTTTGGTTTTATAAAGTTTTAAAAAACTTTCTTATACTAGACAGGTCTGTTATTGATACCATGGGAAATATTGATATTTTTGTTAAGTTAAAATTCTTTTCATGGGAGGCATATATTAGATTGTGTCATACATTATCTCTAAAGCCTAAGCTCTTTCACAAGACCGTACCAAATTTAAAATCAGTTATCTTAGTAATAAACTAAAACCTTTGTCTCTTGAACAGTGTTCCCACTCGGTAAAAACAAAATGTATCCAATTTCGAATCAATATGTATATGTTCTGTAGCTCTTGAATTATGCGGTAAAGACGATTCACCATGAAAACGGACAAATTTTAAAAAATACGTACAGCCAATAGCTTACAGTTTACACCTAGCTTACACTAAAATATTTCTGGTACGCTCTTGTATAAATGTTCTAGATTTGAATACAGGAAGAGGCAGTTAATAAAATATCTTTTTTACTTTCTTCTAAAAAATTTGGAAACCTGCTTAGAAAAGCCAGCAAATAACATTTATTGAAGATAAAGCAACTTCGCGATTTAATATTAGCAGCATTTTAATTGTTTTGTAATATTTATTTAGTGTTTGAAAAAAAAATGTATCCATATTTCAGAAAAATTTTAATATGTAGCCAATTTCGGCATTCTAGCAGATTTGAGTATCTTTGTATCCAAGCTCAAATTTAAAGCAAAAATGTATCCAAATGGATACAATTGTATCCAACTGGGAACGCTGCTCGTGAACTTGTTTTTTTTTCACTAAATTATTCTTTGATTTTTTGACAAGTTGCATAAATTTTAAGATACTGTTTACATATACAAATCAAAATTACTGTAAACACATTCGACAAAACCTAAGATTAAATTTCGTATAAAGTCTGCAGACTCCCAGAATTTTCATCAAAACCTCGGAATTTACGTCAAAATTTAATGATTTTGTACGAAAATTGCTGGATCGTTGCTCAAAACTTATACAAAAAATTGGTAAAAGGTAACTAAGTTTTAATCTGATTCTGACTAAACTTGTATTATGTAGTAAACACAGTTTTGCAGTAGACCTGACCTAAAGGCAAATACATAATTGTAATAAGAAACCGACTTATGCTCGATGATTTTTCTATACAAAACTCTGCTTAAACTTTTAAGTATTTTATAATATTTTAACCTGCAATGTTTATTTTTTTATATTTAGTTTTAAGATTATTATAAATCTCTTTTTTAATTGTAGCATATGACTTTTTCTATATTTTTAAAAAAATTAACTAACTTCGGCAGGCACAGAGTAAAACTACTTAGTATTAATTCTTTGGGTAATTGGGTTAGATCTTGACAACAAAAATATTTTTGTCAGCCGTGGTTACACCGAAAGACAAAACCTGTCATCTGACATAACATTATTTCTTAAAGGGGATTTTGTTTTCACTTTTGTAGTGTTTTCATTTTTAAAATATAAAACTGATGATTTTGTATTGTTTTTATTACATAATGTAAATTAAGTATACAACATTAAAAGAAATTGTTTAGATGAGAATGGCTTTTTTCATCCGGCCATTTGCTTCATCGAAGTTTACAATTTGGAAGAATGTTCATTTGCGCCATATCTTTCGGAAGTATTCTTACATCGATAAAATAGATTGTTTTGCAACTGAACTTGTAAGGGAAAAAACACTGAAATGGAGAGAAATTCGAAAAAATTTAAATAAAACTGATAACGAAAATTTCAATCCGCATAATATGTCATTCAAATTTTTGATTAAAGGTGTTTTATGTGATATTAAAAATATAGATTCCTTAAGTTCGATTGAACTTAATATAGAAACTTTAACTAAGCATCAGCTTAACAGTTTAATTCTTGCTACTATGAAATTAGAAAATGATAATGATTTTTACTATATATTAAAACAATGCCTTAGAAAGAATATATTACCTGAATTAGGCAACACTTTAATATTTTTAAGTTCCAAAGGCGATATCAAAACAGTTGAAGCGCTGGAAAGTTTATATAATGACCAAATGCAAAAGAGAAGTCTATTATTTTTACCGTATATAGGTTACGCAAATTGGAGGAAAGGCAATGTTAATTTAGCCATCGAGAACTTTAGTAAATTTTATGAGTTTTCCATTAAAACTACAAATAAATATGACATGTATCGTATTTTTAAACTTATTACAAATGAAACCTTTAGTGATAAAGGCGAAGCAGTTCTTCATAACTTATTAAACTTTGCTAAAGAAATCCATATCAAATTTGATGACCTTTTTTTATTGGAATGTGTATGGAATAAATCATTTAAAAGTAATTGGTTTAGTGATCAAAATTTATCGGTTGAAATTTTTAATGAAAATGAACACATTAGAAAACTTGTTGTGAACGGGTAAGTGTATAGAGTTCCTAATTCCTTTTTATCATATTATATTTCTGTTTCGTTTATTTATATTTTAGATCTTTAAAGCTTTGTTTTGACTTTCTTAAAAACAACAACACTGACGCCGTTTACAGGCTTATTGAATTATTTCTTAAGCATAATCAAAAAAGTGGTTATGAAGAATGTTTGAAATCCTTATTTGAGTACTACTGTAAATTTTTTTTTAAATCTTTTCAATTAATTATTAATATATCATGCATTTTAGACCGAAATCGCAATGTTCGAGCATGTACGGAAATTATGAAATTTTTTAGAACTTTAGATGTTGAAGTCCCATTTTCATGGAATGAAAAGTTACTTAGCTTAATACTGAAAAAGGAGTTTAGTAATTTCAAACCTCAAAACGAAAAACAATACAAATTTCAATACAAGTTTTGAATTTGAAAAATGTTTATACAGAATTTATAAATTTTGTTTGTTTACAGAAGATAAAAAGTTTTCTTAAGAATAAAGCGATGTAATTACGAATAATTGATGTTTTATTAAGTAAATGGTGAACATTTAAAAATATTTTTCTTAACTGTGATAAAAAATTCATTTTGTACGTAGAATTAAATGCAATCCAGAATCTGTGTCAACAATTTCTGACATCTGGCCAACTTCTAAATTAAATGACGCTTCCTTTAATGAAAATTATTTGGTTTGTCAAATTAAAAACTCATTAAGACCGTTTTTTTGGGACAATTTACCTCAAATGGCTTTTGCATCATACCACGCCCAAAAGGACCTAAGTCACCTCCCTTTTTCGCTGAACTACAATCAGAGTATTTTCGTGCTAAATCTTCTAATGTTGCCTCGCCACTTTCAATTTGTTTTTTATATTTTTCAAGTATTTCTCTGGCTTCCGACTTACTTCGTGTAATGTTTTCTTCACGCCATGAGCTTGGCCTTCTAGAACCAGAATGCTTTACAAGTAAATGTGAGCATTGAACTTGCGAAGGACCCCCGGAACCTGCGGGTTGAGCCGGGCCTGTAATGATTTTAAGTTAATAACTTTTATTTCATTTGGGAGTTACACATTACTTGTAGGACAATTCCACTGTGACTCTTTTGTATAAATATTTAAATAATACGTTTTGCCGGTTGATCGACTTGTTCTCCTGAAATGCGACAATTTTTAATTACAATATAACTTTTACCTATTTATATGATTTTTTTTACTTTTCCCATCCCTCTGGAACAACGTTATTGTCTTCAGTATCAGACATTATTCCAGCGACACTAGAATTATTTTAAAAGCAATAAATCGTAAATTTCGCTTATACCTTTTAGTGTAATTTGAGTTTATATATAAAAAAAGTACCTTACTTTTATGTGTCAAAGTGGCGTTTGCTTTAGCAGATATATTGACAGCTTTTTATAAAAAAAAACGATGCCCAACTGCAAAATTCCAATAATGTCTCGATATGACAAAAATAAAAGCATTCTCAACATGACAAAACATGTATTACCTTTAAAGTTCCTAATGCAGAAGTTTAGGTAAATTAGCGAATTACAACAATATTGCTTTCATTAATATCACAAAATATATTAAAATGTTGCATAAATTTAGGAAAAGAAAAAAAATTAAAGAAGCGTTGACTAATGGTTGAATTGGATTGAAAGATCGAGTGAGTTTAGAAAAATCGTCATAATTATGGAAGGCATAACATTTACCGTTAGCTTTTGCTTTTATTAAAATTTGAGAAAGCTTGTAGCTTCGAAAATATAAGGCCTAGAAAATTCAAATTTTACGAATTTCGAGTAGATAGCTTGTGGTAAGAAAAGGGGAAGTAAAAACAATTCTTCTACTAATGAAAAAAGCTATATATTGGTTTCTAAGATTTTAGACCCTTGCAACTTGCTATTTAGAAGGAAAACGATATCAAAAATTAAAAAAAAACAGGTTTTAGATAATTATAACCAAATTTTTCGTTTGCATCTTGCTTCCGTTAGTTTTCGTTTGAATTTTGCTTCCAAATTCTTATAATATTCAATTTTTTTTTGGTTATAATATCTAATGGTAATAAGAGTTGTGTAGGCAAGAAAGAAACAAAATATTGTAAACAAACAATAAAAATATTGTAAGTTTTGTTATTTTTATTTTGATAATAACAAAATTTATTTTTCATTTTATTAAATTAGGTAAAAAATTCGAATGCATGAAAGCAAAAGAGTTTGAAATTTCATGTATGAATGTACACATGCATGTACCTGGTACAGTAGATACACAGCATCAGGTAGTGACATAGAATTAAAGTAATTTATAAAGAAAAAAAAGGTGTATGCATACTGATTATTACTTTATTAAATATAATAATTACCTATTTATAATATATAATATTATAAATAGGTAATTATTATATTCTAAATTTATTAATTATAAAAATATAAATATATTCTAAATTTATTAAGATTGAAATAATAATAAAAAATTTGAAGATAATTTATTTATTTTATTTATTAATAATTATGCTTAACACTAAAAATTTTTTGTTTTATATCAAATTGTTTTATAGTTTTATTAAAACTTTTTATTATATGGTAAATTCTAATTCTAATATACAGTTTAATGAAATATGTTTTTTCGGACTTCTCACAACATTCATAGTTGAAATTATTTTTTAAGTGTTCATATATTTTACATTCTAAATTTTTTTCTGTACAAATATCATTAAAAAGTTAGAGTATTTGCTAAAATCTTTAAAATATCCATGAAATTCTTGGATGGTTTATAAAAAACTGTAAAATATTTTTTTTTTACAACTATTTAAAATTTTTTTTAATATTATACGTCTTTTTAAAATTTAGTTTTATTTTTTTTCAAAATTATATTATATAAATTATAATAATTTTTTTTAAACACTTTTTTTCCGCTTCGCTTTTATAATATGAATACACCTTTTTTGCCACCTTGTACTAGAATAAGTTACAAAAATAAAACTCCCGCCTTTAAAATTCTTAATATTTTTTCCTATACTTTATAGAGGGAAAAAATAAATAACTCCCGCTTTTAAAAATACATTATAAAAAAACAAGTAGACATCTATTGCGTACTCTTTCCCTCTCCCAAAAACTCTTATGTGTATAAAAATGAAAATAAGAAGGTATACTGCTTAACTCTTTTAACTAAGGGAATTTTTTGTGTACAAATATTGGTTAGTGATTGCATTGGTGTGAGTGTGATTCAAACGAAGAGTCGAACTACTTATTAGTAGATACACTTTGATTATAACTATCAGACAATGGGGCGACTTTATGCACAGGCTAATGCTATATGTATCTATCAGGCCATCAAGCTGAATTATTTTTAGAAATTTTAATTCGGAAAAAAATTACAAAAACAGTTCTCAATGTTTTATTTTGTCGAAGTGTGCCGAATGAAATATTTTTTTATTTTATTGTGGAATTTTTGAGTATTCTTTATGATTCTCACTTTTTTTAGCACAGTTAAAAAAACCATGTAGATTATAATAATTAGGTTTTTCCGTTTTTTTTTTTCAATTTCTTTATAAATTCTATTTCTTATTCAAAACTTTTCTGTAATTCAGAACCCTTTCATTTCTAGAAAGACAAGAAAGATTGGCTGTGCTAAAAATTGCAATATATGTATATTTTTTTAAAATGCATTTTTCAGATGGAATTTACCAACACATTTTTATGAAATTTAAATTTCAAATTTAAAAAAATGTGTAGAATCAGTAGAGCCAAAGAAGTTGATCCTTCACAAAAATAAATTACGACACCCCTTCTATTTAAACTCCATATAAATTTGGAATTAATTTTTAATTTGTTCTCTGAGCTTTGTGGCCTAGGTATAACAAATATCTTTTTTCAAATTGAAATAGACACTAGTAGTCAAAAAGGAATTAAAAAAAAAATAAAGTTTAGAGAAGACAGATAGCCATCCGACCAACGTTTATAATTCGTAAAATTATAGAAACTCCTTGGACCAATAAAAATATTCTTAATTATCTTATCCAGCTATTCATTATAAAAGCACCCAACAAAGCTCTGAGTTCATCATGCTTTATGCTTTTCATTTATGTATATTTTTTCAATTATTTCATTTCTAGTTTAAGCCACAACAGTGCAATTTGTTATGTTATAAAAAGTAGTAAAAACTATATAGACATTCATAATTGATGTTTATGAAATTTTTAATCAAATTGTTCGTTTCTCGTTATTAATGCAAATAAATTTAAATTTTTGAAAAAAAATTATTTCAATTACATTTTGCTTGTTTTATGTTTAATTGACACAGTTTTGATGGATCTGGCTCCTAATTTACACTGAACTTCGCGCATGTTTCCACTAATGTTTATTGGTCATCTACAAACAATATGTACGCTTTATTTCTTTGCAATTTTCCAATTGAAAAACTAAGAACCAAATAAATTTAATGCAAATTATTAGCATGCACTTACGTGTACAGTTTGAAAATTTCTTTATTTAATGTAACTTACAATACGTTATACATAATTTGTTTTTCAAGTGGCAGTTCAACATTTTCTTACTTAATGTAAAAAACTTTAAACATTATGCATAATTGGTTTAAGATAAAAAAAAGAAATTGTTATTAATGTTAAATAAATCAATTGGAACTTCTTAACCCAACATATTTTGTCCATATATTTTTATTGTCAAAATATGGTTTATTTCTAGAAATGATTATAGCATTCCTTAACATATCATGATAGTAAACTGGAACGTGTGTGTTTTTATATAAATGGTGTAAAAATTCATAAATTTTTATTTCATTCTCTTTCCAGAACAATTCATTACATAATGTAGCGCAACTTTCAGGAAATAATGCTATTCTTGATTCCCTCGATGAAGCTATTATGTCAAAATTTCCAAGAATTAAGGCAACCCTAGAGAACACGTCCACAGCCAGAACAAATATATCCAAAAGTAAATAGAGTTTGTTTTGTTTTTCCACTACAGGAATTTCGGTTAGTATCGTTTGTATTTGGCGTGATAGTTCCATTAACCAAGAAACTGAGTTTTTCAAACTTGTAAAAGCATAGAATGTAGCTGTTAAATGACGAAATAGAAATAATTGATCATCGGGCCTGTTGACATATGCTTCTATGATAATGTCCAGCCAATTTAGAGGGTTTTCTATTTGATTATTATAAAGGACCAGATAGCAACGAATTATAGTAGCTTTTTTTAATTTTCCTATGGGAACTTCCCACCAAGTAGCAGGCGCCGTCAACGCTTCAATTGAATTTAAAGGTAGTGCTGCTGCTGCTTCCGTGTATCGTTCAAACAGCTAAAATTTTAAATACAATTTTAATAAATTTCTTTATTTTAATTATTTTTCGAAACTTGCTCTTGATTCAAGGTCCATAGCATCCATATAACGCTCAACTATTATTGTAAATATATCTAAAATCTCAGTAGATTCACATTTGCTAATGAAAACGGAACGAATACTTTCAAGCAGTTTTTCAAACAAGCAACCTAAATATTGAAAATTTATAAGTACATAATGGCAAATAAAATTCAAACAAAAAATATATAAAAGCTTTTCATTAATAAATTGTTAGCACATAGGTTATTTATATAACACAACGTTATTTAATAATTCTATGTGTTAATCAATATTTTTAATTAGTGAAAATCCCTTTGTAAAATATTCATAGAATTGTTATCTAATTAAATTACCTTCAACGAAACCATTAAGTTGCGATTCTTTAAAGCAATATAAAGTAATTTTTTCCACAAAAGTTTTTAACACATTCAAACTAACACCTTGTACAAATTCTGGCATAATGTTAAATAAAAGCAATAAATCTTCTTCGAAACAATTCGGTTCAAATTCAATAAGCACGTTTTCAAACAATCTTTTGGCCGTTCCAGAAATATGTATTTGATTCTTTATTATTAAAATGCAGTATTTCCTTGTTTCAAAGTTCATTTGTAGATAAATATGTAAAAAGCTCCAATCTAAGGGTGGAATAGGTTTCGGAAATTTTTTAGAAATTGCTCTTAACGCAGCTGTTATTGTGCTGGGATCAAGTATATTATCGCCAAAACGTGCTTGCTGTACTAAATAATTTGTAATGGCTCTTAGTACACTTTTTGTAAACAGACTTTTGTGAGTTCTTGGTTCAGATCGTCCTTCTGGAACATGATAAATTCCACTTCGAAAAGAATTAATTTCGTCGCGAATAAATTGTGATAGCATGTCAGCGGCATCAAATTTACTTTCGGGATGAATTTTTTGTAAAACTTCAATCCAGCATTCACCAGGTATTTGATCCATATTAATATCCTCCAAAACTGAAGGATTAATTTGCTTAAATTTAACTGGAATATGTTTTAAGGACATTAAATTTGCTAAATAAAATTGTGCTAATGCTTTAAGAGCTTCGTGTATTATTTCTGGATCTTGAGACGTAGCTATAACTGACCATAAATTATCCAAAGATTCATTAACTAGTCTTTCGTATTCCAACGTCGTTGTTTTTAAAAGAGGAACATGGCCAAAAAAGTTGTAAAGGCTTTTCAAAGATTTTGGACGTTTTTCATGACGAATGCGGGCGCTTAAAGTTTTCCAAGTTGAAATAATATTTACCGTGTTGCTTTCACATAACGCAACAATTGCATCTAAAGCTATTGATGTTGCTAAATCGCCGAGATCATCAGAGCTGGTATTCAAAATATCCGATAAATGTTTGACTAAATCTCGACCGTATTGTGATGGCCTAACATAAAAAAGCTATTTCATTATATTAATATAGAGAAAAACCAACAATTACCTTTCAATGCAAATTTCACGAATTGTATAAGCCTTGGCTACATTATATTCGAAGGATTTTGAATTATCTCTGTTTGGTTCAGATAAATGTTTTATTAAAAATTGATAAGTGCGTATTTCTTGTCTCCATAATCGCAAATAAAGATCCATACAAAATATTGAGCTTTTTCCATTGGAAAGAGTTTTAATAGTACTTAAAATCATGGGAATGTTACGCTAAATATAAAAAAAAAAACAATAAAGGTTATAATTTTAATAAAAATTATTCAGTTTACCTTAGAAACTGCGAAACAAGGTAATCCTCTTAATAATTCTAATTGTACTTCTGGATTGATTTCAATTGATAATTTATAAATGTAGGTCATTAAAAAATCATAAGCAATATCTTCGTTAGCTTTGATAATTGTTAAAATAGCTTGATAAATTTTAAACCAACAATCTACCGATGGATCCTTAGACAGAAATAGAGCTCTCAAAAATAAGTAAATTTTTCTTCCGAAATCACTTGCAACTTCAACAGTACATTCTCCTTTTGCAACTGCATTAGTAGATTCTTTCTCTGCTGGATTATAGTTTTGACCAAGCTCTTCCAAAGCACTACAAGACGATAAACGAGTATTTAAATTATCAACGAACGTAAAAATATTTTTGCATTCTGATTCTTCAAAACTTTCAGCTAAACTGGCAAAATCTGCAGCTAAAGAAATTTTGGGATGCAAATATCGTGCAATTGGACTTTTATAATCACTAGTTACAACTTTTACAAGTTCTTCAGAGCCACTGACGATTGCTCTCTTCTCTTCTGGGGTTGTGATTGCTTTAATCAATTGATTAGCTAGAGTAATTCCATCTTCAGGTATAAATGTCGTTTGAGACATCCATTGGATGGCACCATCAAGAATCATATTAAGAATATACTGATTACCGCAGTGCTCTAACACAATGATAAAATTAAATATACGCAGCAAATCTGGTAAATATGTTGGGGATATTATATGTAGAGTATCCGCTAATATAATTAACAATATGTTATAAAAATTTTTTGTTATGTTTTTTGTTACTTTTAAAACATTTAGAATACATATTAACGATGCTCTTGGATCTAAGCCAAATTGTACTAATTGATTAACAATAACAGCCATATACAAAGTTAAATCTGCAGCATCTTCTAATTTATCGCTACTTTTATATACTGATAAGGTTTCGATCATTAGAATGCTTGCAAAAAGGCAAGTAGCAGAAGTATTGATCTTGAAAAGAAAAGTAAAAAGTATTGAAATAAGCTGTAAAATTTTAATTTTTATTTTTATATTTGACTTTTGTTTTTCTATATATATAATTTTTTTCGCTAATTATTATTGTTATATATTTATTCGTCATTCATTTAACATTTATAACGTTAACATAATCAGTGAGTAAATCAAAAATAAATTTTTAATTTTGTATGAAAATTACAAGAGTTGCTGGAAATTATTTGCAAAAGAATAAGTATATATTTAATTTTCATGGCTGAAAGGATTTTCCCAGAATTGTTAGGAGTCAACCGAAAGTATGTAGGAGTATGCGCCAGAAATTGGAGGAACCGGAACTGCACTACTCGCACAAATCAAGGAAATGTTAAGTCTACCAGTCACTATTACAAAATATTCATTCATTACGTATTTGAGTTATAATCACATACATATGTAGGTATTATACTGCTTTATGAAAACTCCATAAATTTTTTGGATTCCGTGTATATTAAGCTATTTTTTTAAAGTAATTCAGAGTGCTTTCCTTTATACTATAATATCTAAAAGATTTGATATAATTTTATATAAACTTGGCAAAATTTTTTTCAGAATGTTATCTAGTCGAATTGTATGCAACAGTTGAACATTATATTCATGTTAAAAATATTTTTTTGGTCATGTTAAAAATTCTTTTTTCAATTTCTTTGTTATACAATATAAAGAAAACTCATGATGGAAACTATATACATTATGTACATACATATGTATTATAAATTTTGGCAAAAATACATACTGTACATATTTTAAATATGTATATACACTGTGTAGTAGGTATGTTATATAAAGAACAATTTGTTCAAAAATATAACTTTTAGAGAAGTCATTATGAAATCAAAATGACATCTCTAAAAATTATTTAATTTGCAAATTTCCAAATTAAAAGCTCAAATAACAAAAAAAAACGAAATTGTAACAAAAAGTTCTTGTTCGTTGACCTATAAAATATGTATTTATTCATTGAAATTTTATCCATGTTAAATATAACATAAATAATTGCGTGCAATTAATCATTCAACTTTCCCTCATCTCTTTTATTTCTGCATGTAGTTTATACATTCATATACAATTCCATTTTATACAGGATTTTCTAAGTACATATACAAGTACATACACATTTGTGTATGTGAACTATATTTATGAATCCGGTTGTGCGTTTCCTTTCGTTAACCAAACATATAAAGTAAAATTATAAGAAACGAAGGCTAAGAATGTGAATTAAATCACAAATTTTTTTGTACAATCTACTTAGTTCTTTTTATAATTCTTTTTAAATCCGCTCATAATATACACCTACAAGTAAGGACAAACACAAATTTTTAGAAAATATTGTATGTCGTACAACAATTGTACTAAACCAATGCTTTGAAGAGTAGCGCATTTCCCTTAAGTATAATTATAATCTTTGATGACAAGATATTAATCGCTTGCTTTTTTCTTTTATGAAAATTTGAGAAAGCTTATATGTATGTACATGTATATGTATATAGTTTTGAAAAAATATGGAGACCAAAAATTTTGCTAGTTTTGTCAGACGAAAACCTGGAAGGGGAAGAAAGTAGAAAAAAACTTTCTTTTAAAATGATTTATTAAATTCTTTTTTTTTTTTTTCAATTTATTAAATTACTTTTTAAAAACTTTTTAACAAGTCTTGAAGAAAAACGGCTCCGATAGGCGACGAATGTATGTATGTAAGGATTTTAATGAACTTCTTGAAATTACAATAAAATTTTGAAGCAAAAGCAAAGTTTAAAATAAATTTTTTGTAAGAAAAAATTAAAAGCGACCAAAATTTTTAATTCAATCACAATTTTTGAAATGTAATAGTAGCGGATGCAGATTTTTGATGTTGTGTCCATACTTAATCAAGTTCAACAAAATGTCTACTTTTCCCAAAGGTTATTCGATTTGTATTTCATCCAAAAATTTATTGTGTAAACATATACATATATATACATATGTATATCATGCTAATACATAGACTTGCTTAAGAACCCAAATTCTGCAGAAACCTTTATATTACAACGTGAACTGCAGAACTGCAAAAAATTAGTACAATCATCATCAAGCAATTGAATTACTTACTAATTATCACAATGTCTGAAAAGAAAGAGAATTACAAAGAACGAGAATGAAGTTTTGGGAAAATTATAGCCTTACTGCAAATATATTGTAGACAGTATCTTCTGACTATTTGTAACCACTTCGCAAACGTTGGCGCAAATCAAATGGCGATAATGATTAAAACATGTAAAAGTATACATACATTACTTTTCAATAAAATAAAATAATTAAGTTTGAATACAAGTTTTTTTTTTAATTCTATATTTTATTAAGACGTATTCGAAGTAGTTTACTAAACAGCCTATTTATTCTAATTTCTGCAAAACTTTTTATGTGTTAAATTAATTTTAACTTTTTGTATTTGTCTCATTAAGGTAAATTGCGAAAAGCATTTTTAATGCGAATTTTATTTGTGCTTTTCTGTAGACTTATCCACCACATAAAGCGAAACCTAGCAGTACTATGCCTTGATGTTTAAAAACCTTTTATGAATGTGGATATACTCGTAGTTTCCTCGTCAATGTTATAATAAGTTAAAAAATTATCTTGACACGAAATCGTGTTTTTAGGCTGAAAATGAATTTTCCATATGTACATATGGAAATGTGAATAAACTATCTATTAAGATGTCGGTTCGTCGGTCTGTGTGTGCAAGCGTGTATCTCAAGTTCAATTTTGATGAAAATTTACACAGGGTGTTTCGATTACATTAGATGGCAAATAATTTCAGTATGATTTGCTGATCAATTTCTAACAAAAAATTATATGGAGGGTAGGGGTGCATATATACTTCGATCAGCAGCCGATTGAAAAAAAAGCTAACTGATTTTTCCTACAGGAAAAAAAAATGCTTATAACTTCGAAACATTATAGCATATTAACATAGAGCAACCATTGAGATTAGTTTCACAGTCGATTGATTACCCTTGTTTTCAGTCTCACAATTTATTTTGAGTCATAATTTTTGAGATAAAGCTCGTCAAAGTCAGATTTCTTTTTTAATTTGTTTGTAAAAAACTCGAAATTTCTCAAACATAAGTGTTATTTTTTTCCCATATTAATATTTTCCTGTACCTCTCATAGTTTTGCCAATAAACCATGTTAAATGTGTTAAAAAAAGCATACCAAAAATGAAAATTTCGTATATGTAATATAGCAGCTTTTCAAAATTTTCCTCAAAATGGATTACCCATTTCACAAGCTTTCTGTCAACATGCCAAACATAGTTGTGACCCTCCTATGCTAGTTATAGAGAAATAATTGATTGTGATCTTCATAAAAAAATTTACATTTCATGTTAAAACCTTGTACAGATTGTGAGACTTTTATAGCCTTGTATACTATTATCGCCAAACTAGATCATACACCTTGAGGTCGCTAATGTGCTGATCACACAATTATTTTACAACGTACCCATATATTTTCATTCGTTCATAAAGAACTTTATAGTACTCGTACGTGGCTTACATTTCTTTGAAATTAATTCATTTAAATAATTAGTTTTTTTTGGTTCTAGGAAAAAATAACACTTTTATTATTACCTGTTTAAATATCTTGTACACATACATATACATATTCTTGTCAGGGTGCAATTACGTCTGTTGTAGCATAGTTTACATACATACATAATGTACAACAGTATAGATTTTTGTTATATCATGGTATATATCTATGGAATCAACTAATTCTGCTTTTTTTGTTATTAAAATTTAGATAAGAGATTTAAAATTTAATAAACCATGTAATGAGCAGCATTAACTTTGAATTGTTGATGTTTTAAAAGAAAAATCAAGAGAAAAAAATTATATTTCATTTCCAATGCGCAAATGAATAATGTAATGTATGTGTGGAATAGGGATGAAATTTAAAAGTGCTACGTTTGTTTTTTTTTGACATTTCGTGTTCGGACGCTTTTTTAACGAAAACCTAATGAGCATAACAGTAAAGCTTTTAAGTACTTCAAATTTTGAGAAAAACTGAATCAATAATAAATCAACAATGTAATTCATTGTGAATTACAATGATGGAACTAGAATCCAGGGGCGGATGGACATAAACTCTTAAAACTAGTCAAATTGGTATGTTGTACGACAGTTTTGGTCCGCCTATCTTTGTCTGTCGATTATTTTTATCTTCTGCATTAAAAATTTTTTTTTTTGTTTTGAGCTGGTTGTCAAATTCTAAGGGTTTCCAAGATATGTGCATTTTTAAAAACGTTAAAATCCAGTTTCTTTTTCAAAATAAGGATTCCTAAAAATGCTAACTCGTTTTTAAAATGACCATTTCAATAAAAAAATGCTTAATAATGAAGAATTGTAGCACTTAAAATTGATAAAATGCGAAAATTGCGACCATTGTGTGATTGGACCAGCAAAAATGACTTGAAAATTTTCTCTACTTTCCCTGTATTACGGAAACAGTTGTGATTTGACATATAGTTCCAAATAAAATTTTTTTTTCCATTATCGATGCCATGAACGACGATACATTTTAAAACGGTGATTACTGAATCACCCTGTACATATGTATAGTGGCTCCCACTCATATTCGTACAACGAAGCACAATGTAGTACAATTTGAAATTTTTTTGTAAATGAATTCGTACAAATTTTTATTAATTTTAGTTTTTTTTACAAAATTGGTTATTTATCATTAAAATTAAATCGAAACAAAGAAAAAAAAATATTTGTTTTTGGAACTATTCAAGAAAAACAAAAGCAAGTAAACAGTCATATTCGTACAGTTATATACAATGTTTGTTTTGATAATTGTTAATAATTTTTCTTAGTTTCGATCAATAATTACAAGTGTTTGAATACATAATTTTTATTGTGTTTTAACGAAATATTACTTTTAATTAAACTGTGGGCAGAAAATTATGTTCTACAATTACATATGTATATTATAAAACGTTATACTAATGAAAATAGAATACAGAATAAGCCACGAAATTTAAATAGAAAGCTATTAAGTAACCGTAATAAACGCATTATTATCAAAGAAATTAAAAATAATCTAAAATCAAGTGCTCTTCAGCTAGTAGAAAGCTCAAGTGCTCTTAAGCTTGAAACTCAACAAGTGCTCTTAAGCTTAAGACTCAGAATGTAAGTCCAGAAACAGTTCGATAGACTAATAAAAATCATGATCACAATAGTAGAGTTGCGAGAAAAAAACATTTTCACAATAAGAAAAACAAAATGAAACGCTTGAAGAATTTGCAAGCCAGCACGAAAAACAAAATTTGGAGTTTTAAAAGCACGTAATTTTTATCAACGAAAGTAAATTTAATGTTTTTGGTTCTGATGGCAGGCAAATTGTTTGGAGAAAACCTAATTCAGAACTTTTATAAATTTATAACCTACTGTAAAACATGGTGGAGCTTCAATGAAGGTGTGGGGGTGTTCTCAACACCTGGAATAAGAAGTTTGGCTATAATAGAAGGTTATTATGAACTAAGATAAATATATTGATATCATAAAGATAAATTTAAAAGAAAGTGCTGATCGGAGCGTAATAGAAGAAAGTTTCAAATTTTATTTAGATAATGATCCCAAGCACACTGCTTATAAAACCCGATCACGGTTACTGTATAATTTTCTGAAAGTTGTACAGGCAACTATCCAATCTTCGAGTTCGAAAATATCAAAAAACGAGTGTAAACATGTTAAAAACCAAATTAGTGCGGAAGAATTGGCTCAAATTTCGGCTGACATCACAAAAAAGCTTGTTGAATCAATGCCAAACCAATTAAAAGATGTCATTCGGAATAAGGGTTATGCAACAAAGCACTAGACTTAGAATTAGATTAAGTTTGTTCTTTTAATAATATAGTTAATGTAATGCTGTACGAATACGACTTTGACTTGAATTTGTTCAATGAATTTTTAAAAATATTTTTTTTTAACAATTTTGTTTGTTAAATATTAAATTTTTATTTTTGTTTACTACTATTATTAAATAATAAAACTTGATTAAAATATTTACAAAATATAATTCACATTTTATGTTTTATTAAATAAATGGAATTAAAATATGATTGCTGTACGAATACGAGTGAGAGCCACTGTATATACGGCAGTATGTAAATTGTCAATTTTCAAATAAAATATCAAAATATATTCTTACTTAGGATCGATATATAAATTACTTCCAAATTAATTTGTGTATTTTCAAAATTATAATGTTTTTCCACCCTCTTAATTTGGTATTCACACAGTCACCTATTTGCATAGAGCCAAATTTACATTATTAAAAATTTGCATGTTATGTTGAATACTATGTATTGTACTAAATAGAAATAAGCTATGTACATACTTACGAGTATGTATGTAGGTAAGTATGCACATTTCCAAATAAATTACCAAAAGCTATATCGATTTAGCATTGTCCTTCAAAACAAGTGCATTCATTTTTCTTTTATTTTGTTTTTTTTTCAAATTGAAATTATTCAAGGGAGTAAGTGGAAATATTTACTTTTATATTATTAAAAAGGAATAATTTATTTAATAATGACTTTTAGTGGTTTTAAAAATTTATTAAGAAACTTGAAATTGATTTCAAGGTGCTTAGAATTAAGATGATAAAATGGATATTATTCTTTAACTGTATGTATGTATGTATGAAAGCGAATATTGAAACAAAGCTTTAAGGAATTATTGTATGTAGATGTATATTGTAACGTATACGCATTCATTCGTAGATATGCATTTCGTCTAATTTTTTCGTATTAACTAATTCAAAACCTGAGCATTTTTTTTATTAAAACATGTTACACAAATGGGCGTCTCCTTAATTACTATATATCACCGACCACATTGTGTATGCAGTGAGGTAGATTATGTGATGGTACCAAATACAATGTTGAGTTTTCAGTAGAAGCGTCTCCATAGTAGGGAAGCGTAAAAAAACTACTTTTAGAGAGATTTCGGTCTGTCGATCTGTCGGTCTGCGCCTGCACGCGTGTTTCTCAAGTTCGGCTGATCTGATTTTAATGAAATTTTATATGTGACTTTACTTTGGCTGTGTGACGGATTAATCAACTATTCTGATATATCAGACTTCGGGAACTGGACAGTTTTGCGAGACAATTTTACATTTTTGTGTATATAAAGAGAAATTATCAACCAATTTTCTTAAAATGTAATATTTAAATTCAGGGTGTTAAAAGAACGAATATATAAATTTTTTGGAGAGATCAGCGCTAGGAATCCAAGCTGGGGACGGATTTAAATTTTTTACTATATCTACGGATTTTCTTAAATTCCATATTTGAGTTTTTTTTGTTACCGGCACTAACTTAGGAACTTTTGAGGCAAGTTGGATGGCACAAAACAAATTTCTACTAACAGCCCAATTTACTCTTTTCTAAGTATGATAACTAAAGGCTTGGCAACTTTCTTATAAGTTAAAGAAAGTGTTCAAAATGCATTTTCATAATCTTTTGTAACTCTCTCACTACACTAGGCAATACACAAAACGGTCGGTTATGTGCTGATTACATTAAAATATTTGACGTAAGGATTGCAAAAAAGAAATTTTAAAAATTTTAGTTTTATGTCGAACCGAGTTGTAGAGCTAAATTACTAATTATAAAAATTCTAAAATTATTAAATGCCGTCTTTAATTACAATGCAAATTTTGTGCCACTAATTCTCCTAAATTGTGGTATTGTAGACTTTTGCTTTAATGGTCGGTTAGCGCCTCTGCTATTTCCTGTACCGAAAAGCTGAAGTAGATTTAAACACGGCGAATAAAATCAGTTAATACAATATTTTAATGATTTCATAGTTGTCAGAATTAGATAAGTTAGTGACTTAAAAGCAAAATAAAAAATATACGGATATCCATATGTACATACATATATGTGTGTATGTAAATAAGCAATAAAAAATTTTTATATACATAAGTACATAAATTTACAAATCTAGGCTTTTAATTACTTAAAATTTTAAGGAAATATAGGAAATTAGATTAGGTCTTACCTTACTCCATGTAATAATTTCATTTATTAAGTTTTTTGCTTTTTCGTTACGTTTTGCTTGTTCTAGCAATATAGTCCATATTGGTCTTGATTCTGGTTGTGTTTGAGGATTGCAGAATATGTATAGTAAAACAGGTCGCAAATATTCCAAACCATATTTTTGTATTCTTTAAATTTGTATAAGAAAAAAATTTTTGTATTTAATATTTTGTATTGACAAAAAATAAATTTAAAATTTTATAATTTTGATAATAATTTATAATAATTGATAGATTTTGCAAGTTAAAATATTGCTAAAATCTCAACCTTAGATGAGATCTTCTTTTAAATAGCTAGAAACTGTTCTGATCATTTTAATATGTAAAAGCTTTTAAATAATACAAATTTATTTTTACAATGGAACGAAAATATTTAAAGTAGTTAATTTTGAATGTTTTTGAGTGGATCACACGGCTGGCAGAAAGGCTTATACCAATATTTTTGTTATGTAAAGAAGGATCGCAAAGCAAGTGATTAAGAATTTTATTTTAGAAATCTAATATAAAAAGTATTTTAACAAAATGTTCGATTCTTCCGGGCCTCTTATTTTAAATTTAGAATGGTATACATATTTTCTCAGTCTTACTGAAGATATTTTACTTACTTTTTATCTTGATGACTGCAAATTCCAGATATTTTGTTAGCCACATCAATCATATTTATTCCATCAGTTTGTGCGATTGTTATTAAAGGATGCTGTAATGTTTTGATACCAAATGGACATTCAAATTTATCATCTGCTTTTAATCCTTCCGTTTTTTTCTTTAAATTTAAAATTAATATGTTGACAATGCTTTCGGTTATCGCACTTTGCTGAGTTGTGCTAATTCAACAATAAAGTCAAAAATATTTACTAATAATTAATAGAAGTAAATTAAATATTTATTTTGGACTGAGTTTTTTTTTTGTTTTTTTTTATTTATAGTAAGTGAAGGCGTGGAGAATTTTTAAACATCATTTTCTGACATCCTTTTCTTTTTCAAAATGGAAAAAATGAAATCAATTTAAAAGTCCAGTCATGATATCCATTAATTTAATTTTTGCTTTTACTTTAACCTACATTTTTTATAACCCATTCCATAATGAGATTTTTAGAAATTTTTGTATTGTAAAGAAACTGATTAACGTATGTACATACATTATATACGTTTATATTACGTGATTTATTAAATAATGCTTGCATAATGTTACAAAGAAAAAAGGAAAAGGAAAATGGTAATAAAGAAATTATTTACACGTGAGCTACTAATTTTTTTTATTGAAACAATAAATATGTATGAATGTGTGTACGGAAAATTTTTAATAACGAAATGAGAATATTATAAAGTTAGTTACTTCTTACTTATATCACATACATAGCTTTACATCATTTATGTGAGAGCTTACAACTTTATTGGCCAAATTTAGTTTGGCCAATTTTAGTTGACTTTATAGGATAGATCCTAATTATAAAACAAGTATGTAACTTTTAACAGTAAAGTTATCGTATCAACTAAATTCCGACTAAAAGATGAAAAATCTTTATTTTAAAGTGATTAAAGTGCGTTTGACAAGATTAAAACAGTGGCAAGTGTATTTAGCAAGGTATCTTCTTAAAGTAACTTATGAACATCGAATATTAATAAAAAAATAAAAAAATATTAGTAACGTAATATTATGTGTGTGCATACGTATGTATTAGTATTTCTCTGGAAATTCATAAATGCACGTGAATTACTCTGGAAATATTTTGTTATATTCTTCAGAAATTTCACCGAAAAACCTTGTTATAAAAACGTATTTCTTCTTTGATAAATATTGCCAACGAGAAATATTGCTAAATGAGGTCATGTTATTGAAAAATAAGTCCATGTAATTTGTTTCCATTTTTTTTATTTGCTAACTCTATCAACAATTAAGTGGAAGTTATGTGCCTTTGGATTTTTTAAAATGTTTAAACCTTTATGGAGGTAATGTTTATGATACGTTATGTTTATATGAACTAAATAGATATGTACGTATGTAGGTATAATTTTTGATGAGCCTATTCTAAATACTTGAATAATTATTTTTTATTATTTAAAGTTTAAAATCGTTTTGCTTACCTTGAATTCGGTAACACTGTCAGAAATAAGTTCAAGACATTGTTAGTATCAATAAGACCAGTATTAGCTAATTTGACCAAACACTGACAACTCATCAAGCTTAACCGAATATTATCATTCTTGCATTGTGCTTTTAAAAAATCCAATTCTTTAATATTTAATTCTGGAGTTTTTTTAATCCGTTCTTCATGTATTTTTTTATACAGTTTTTCTAATATTGAAGAAATTTGTACAATTGAAGTTGTTTTAGTGATATATTTAAAATCATCCATTTTTACAATTCAATTAAAACTTTTATTCCACGTTACAAAAATACCATATGATATGACTGCTTACATCCAAAGTTTAATTTAAACTGACCATAAAATGGAAAAACCAGGCATTAAAAATTGATTTTTAATAATTTTTTTAACACAATAAGTTCGAGTACTGACTTTTTTGGAATTTCTTTTTTATATTTCGCACGTTATTTCCGTTACATTAAAAAGAAATTATTAAGGACAAAATTGCTGCGCAAGTACTAAACCCTTGAAAAAATATATTTTTATTTGTAATCAAAATATAAACAAACATTTCGTATGTCATATATTTTGTATAAAAGGAAATAAACAAATAAAGAACAGCTGACCCCGGCTGTCTAAGTTGACAATGTTCCTATCACACAATTATGTGGTGAATATTTAAAATCCAAAAATTACATCCAATCAGGGTTGTCACTTTTGCTGATTTTTCACCAAAATTTGTTACTTTTCTTTCGTTTAGTTACATGGTTCCCCTTCTGCATTCCTCTTTTCTGTTTTGACACTTTTTTTAATTTTGCCTTCAGACAAGGTACTATTAGAAAAAATTTCATTTAAAACGAGAAAAGGTAAACCATGTCAATTCTATGATACTCGTACGAATTAATGATTTGAAGAGTTGAATGATAATTGCCACGCTGATTTATATAAATTTTTGTTTTTCTATACAGTGTTTGTTTATACATATGGCAGTTGCCATATAAACGCATCTCAAAACTATCTCAAAAACTTTTATCGAAAATTATTGCCATAATTTTATTTAAATAATGACATTTTTTCGCAAAACTTTAGTGCCAAAGCTTCAGTAGTTTCTATGATAAGACCGAAAAATCCTTAAATGCGAAATTGGATAAATTGTTTGAATTCTTGTTGCATCTACCATTTTTTGTTATAAGTTTGTCAAGGTTTTATAAGTTTTTTTCTTGATGAAAGAACAAGATTTGTCTTGTAGCACAAATTTTTTTTATTATTTTCTCAACCTTCTTAAAGATTTAGTAAACAAAGCAAAAAATTTATATAAGATAGGCGGATTTTGTTAGAGAACAAATAAAACGAATATATTTTTGTCTGCCGTGATAAAAACACAATAATTTTGCCAAGCCAAGCTGAAAATTAGATAATTTGTTGTTGCTGCTGTTTTTTCTTGTGCTAATTCTATAAATTATTTCTTCTAACGATTAGCAAAATGAAGTTCATTAGTTTAAAAGAGTGAGTGAAATCAAATACTTGTCAAAGTACACATAATTGAATTAATTTCTTTATAAAAAAACAAAAATCGAAACGTCAGGGTAATTTAACAAGTGTATAATTTATTTGAAAAAGTTATAAAAGTTTTTTACTCAGGACTATGTACATACTTTTAACATAAATTAATATATTTATATAAAAAATTATGGAAATAGTCAGAGTAGAAAAATTAAGTCAAAATTGGTTCCAAAATTTAAAATAATAAATGTAATAGGTTCATACAACTTGATAACGCAGTGCATGCAGCAAATTTAGTGTAATAATATTTTTACAAGAATCTTAAATATAACGGCTAGCCTTCTTAAATTCTTAGTTAAATATATGAATAACGGAGGCTGACATAATTATATTAAAATTTTAATCGTCTCTTTTTTAGAAAACTTGTTCTATTATTGTCCTTGGGCATAACAATGCACATGCAAAAGACCTTTACATGGAAAGAATTCTTGGAAAGTGCCAGAAGTTTCATTGATATTTCAGAAAAACTTGGTGATACTTGGAAACTTATAGAAAAAGTTTTTAAAATCTAATTTTTTCAACTTAGTTAATTATATTTAACATATTGCAGAGTTTTGAAGAAGGAAGTTCTTACTTAACATATGAGCAAAAAATTAAATGTAAATTTGACGTACCCGTTGATCAAAGTTTTGAAAATTTTGTTGAAAACATTGAGAATGAAGATGAAGCTTCTTTAGCACATAATGATGAACTGATACGTATCGAGTATCATGTTGTATATAGCATAAGCTACCAAATTCCAATTTTATACTTTAGGGCTTATAAGAGTGGTACCTAATACACAAAATAGAGAAATTTTATTATTTAAAGAAACCTATTATTTTCTATTTAATTTCCCATTCTTAAATTTCTAATTCTAGATGGATCAATGGTTTGTCTTGAAGAATCCTGGAAATTATTTACCGATGCAACAAAATCAATCTATTCTAAATCAGACATGTTATCTATACTAACTCAAATGGAACATCCCATATTATATAAACCTTTTTTAGCTTTACACCCATGTAAAACTGCCGAAATATTGGGTAATTCACCACAAAGTAAAAATTTTATTCTCACTTTTTTGAGTGTTATGGGACCATTTGTTCAGTTAAAATTAACTAACGATTACGGCGTATTGTAGTATTGAATATTTAAAAGAGCAAGAATGTACACACAACAGGATCAATATTTGATTTTATTTTTTTTAATTTTTGATTGTTATTAACTTCATAATTGTCAGATCATTTTAAAAGTTAAAATTAAGCATGTTTTTAATAATATTGAAAACAGAATGTTTTTTTTGTAAATGTGTAATTTTCTCTTATCACCAACCACTGATTGCAGTGTAGTACATATATTGTATTTATTTGTTTGCTTGATTTGGAACTCTTTAATGTTATGTTCCAATTCAAGTACTTGTGTGTATGTAAACTATTCAATAACAAGTAAGCCGGAGGTTCAGAACATCATACTCCAGGAATGATTAAGAATATCTTGATATAAAAGTTCCTTGAAATTTGGCTGAATCCCTGACAAATTGAAGGCCATCGTATAATGTTAAACTAAAATAATATAAGTTTACAATAAAAAGTTTATAATTTTATAATAAAAATTAGATCTGTTTAAAATTAAACTTCAATGGAGGATAATTTTTATGTTGAGTTACTATATTTTTTTAAATTTTAAGTAAAGCAAGATAATGTTATAATATAATTATCGTTTTTTTAAGGTAAAAAAATTAAAATTAATTCACCAAATTTACTCAGATTCGTCTTCCAAGGGCATTTTTGTTAAAAAATATGTTTAGTAACTAATTCGGGATATACATATACTTAGAACATTCGGGATAATACATATATTTAGAACATTTTGAAAAAGTATTAGAAGAAGTTTTAAATATAGTGGTGTAAAAATTTTAAATCGCTTTTCCTTTGATAAATAAAAATACAATTTCTCTTGACCTCCCACAAATTAATAAATTAAATTTTCAAACACTCAATATTTTCTCAAAATTTTAATGTATCAACTACTTGTAATATTTGAATCACTTAAATTTATACAAATACATAAATGCAGTCCTTCACATTTTCAGATAATTTTCCTACTTGCTTCTTATACATAATGTATATTATATCTACATACTTTTTATTTGTTTTCAATTTAGTAATTCTCATCCTGCACATTTTCAGTTCGCCTTACTTGAACTACAGTAACATTAGAAATTTTGTCATCAAATTTACATGTTACCGTAACTTCGCTTAGCTGAAATGTAAAAATTTGTGAACCATATTTTGTTCGAAGATAAACAGATCGTGGGTCAGTTTCCAGTACATTAATTATACTTTGCCGATCAACTTTTAAATCACGCATTTGCGATTCGGCTCTTTCATTAAAAGTTACTGACAGTGTTTGCCCATTAATAATCCAATTTGGTACTTTAACACCATCAGGGTTTAGTGGAGAAACTGATGTTGTTATTTGATGATTATTTGTATTACTATAATTATTCATTGTCATTGATACTAGGGAATTTCCAACAGCCCCATTAATGTCAGAGTCTGACTCTTCGCCGTCTGGCTCCTGCCGAGAATTATAGAAATCAACAATATCTTGACCTACAGAAAGACGGCCAGAAGTTTCACTGCCGTTAAATGGGGAGTCATAAAATGGAATGTAAGGTTTTATATCCAATACAGGTGTTTCATCAACCTAAATAAAATTGATTTACCATTACTGTATTTTTTTTATAACGTATACTTACCATATCAGTACCACTAAAATATATTATTGAGCCTTCGATTTTATTTATTTCGACTAAAGACAACCCGATTGGGCAAGGTCGATGAGGAGATCTAGTACTAAAAACTCCAACTTTTTCACCTCCTAACCGTGGTGGTGCAACTTTTGTTTTTGAATGAGAATTATTTCTATGGAAATGATATATAACCCACAAATGGGAGAATTCTTGAAGTCCTTGTAATGAATGTTCAGGATTAGTGAAAACATCTGGGTTTATATCGATAATTCCTCTTAATTTTCCTGCGAGTGTAGACTGCCTTGGTACAGCTCTTTTTTCTGGGAACGCGGTTCTAATAACACCTATAGGTTTAAAAGCAATGGCATTGGAATCTTGTGCAACCTGGAAAATAAAATTATGTATTCTTGGATATACGAGTGCTGTTCAACTGCTAACCTCTTTGGATTTATTTAAGCAATTTTCATTCAAGTTGCGTAGTTTACACCCTTCACATCTAAAATCTTCAAGCATTTTCTGTAAGCATTCAATGTCTTTTCTATGGACATATTGCAGCGATTTTACTTGTTGCCTAAAATTTTTATTTTCAAATGTTAAATCAAAATATTTTTATTTTAAATTTGCAATTCTAGGTACTTATTTAGCTATTATCTACCTGAGTTTATTTATTTCGTTTCGCGCTATTGATAATTGATTTTTTAAAGATTCAATATCATTTTCAGTCATGTTAAACCAAAAAATTTTTATAGAGAAAAAAAAGTATTTACAATACAATATTATATGTATATTTATAAGAATTAAAACCAGAACTTCGCTGTGAAGACCTTTGCTGCTATTACTGTCAAGTGTCAATCGTTAGTTGACAATTGACACCTGAAAAGTACCTAAATGAAAGTTTTAAAAAATTTGTGAAATCCGCAACAAATTGTTTTGATCGACTTGATTTTCTATGGAATTAAATTTATACCTAATTTTTGACAGATTTCAAAGAAAAATGTTACGGTAGCTGAACTTTTCAAAAGGAAATTGGTAAAGTTAAATATTTGAAATTTTATAAAGCACGCGGACATCCTACAACAGCTGTTGAAACTCTATTGTTTATTTATTTACTTTGAAAAATTCATCAGGTACAAGTAATCACATTGAAAATATATTTGACATTCTCTTTCAAAAGTTGAAAATAAATGTACGAAGCTTAATATAATCAAAATATCATGACTTAACATAACCATAAAATATTATGACTTAACGTAACCATAAGTCATTTCTCACTCGCTGAAGTAAATTCATCGAGTGAGTGATAACTGGGACCACTTTTATCACTAAAAGATACATATATGCCTCAACAAGGTTAATGGTTCAACTAATATTTATTGAAGTAACGATAAAGTTTATACATCTATTTTGTTAATTGATGAAAAAAAATTATCATTGGAGTAACATTCGGCAAAAGTCACTATTTGATGTGGGTTGTGGTGTGCCGCTAGATTAGTTTTTGTGGAAAAGTTTTAAAATTTTTTTCTCATATTGTAATAGTTCCGCTCATCCCGCTGCTTTTGCTGTTAAAGCGAATGTTGAAAGTTGAGTTTAAAGTTTAATTTTGTTTCGTGACGGGATTTTTATAAATAATTTTTATTACTACTGACTACAGACTGTCGTCGGAAATGTGAACTCTTGTCGAAAACTCGTGTCGAAAGTTCTCATTTATCGTCTTGTGGTAAACAGGATTGCCATTGTCAAGAATAGTTTGTTTTCACTTCCGAGGTTAAAATTTCACCAAATCAAGAAAATTGAATGTGACAAAGGCAATATTTCGGGTAGCTGCCATACAACTTAAAAATTTTTTAGACTTACATATATAGACTTATCTCGGGAATTATAGAAGCTGTAGTATTGAAATTTCAAAGCAAATACATATATTATTAAAATTGTAATATTTAATAAAAGTTGATGAAACTGTTTACATTTTTATCGTAGCTGCCATACAACTCAAGGTAATTTCCGTATAAAAGTAAAAACTGTTGAGATGTCATTAGCCTTTTAGATAGCTGCCATTCAAAAGTTATTATTGACTGTATCTCAGGAAGTAGTAGTATTGAAAACTTGCACAAATACAGTGGCGGATCAAATGATTTATTGGCCTTAAGCGGTAAAAATATTTGGGAACTTAAAAAACAATTACACAAAAAATAAAAAAGTTTTTGTGAATCAGGCGAACATAATTATTTTACGAGTTTATTATCTCACATTTGGAGATTTCAAAAAATATAAAAAAAACCCGATATTTCAATGTTTATGTAAAAAGAGTTTATTCAAATTTTGGTCTTTTTAAATACAAAATTTATATCCATATAAAATTATTTTACATAAAATTTATTAAGGTTAGTTCACTTAGCAAAATTATTGAAAAACTGATAACAAAATAACACACAAACTTGACAAATCAATTTACTTGCATCTTATTTTATTTACGGTGGAAACATATCTCTAGAGAGCTGAACTAAAGAAACTAGGAAATAAATAAAATAACAATTTTTTGTATAAACTTTCCTCTCGTTTTATTTTTAACGAATTTATTAATTATTTTATCAGTATTAATCTGACTTAAAATATTATTTTCATAAATAGTATTTCTTAGGTAAATAAAATAGTATTTCTTAGGTAATTTTTGATACGTTTCAAGGCAGAGCTTTGATATTTTTTCATGTTTGCATACTGTAAGAATAATATTTTGGCTTTTTGTAAAATATTTCATATACATACATATATTTCATTTAAACTTAATATTATTCGAAGCCTTATTTGAAGTAATATTTATTGCTTACCTCAATATTTACATTATCAAATTTAAAGTAATAAACACTTTTTAGCACAGTGGCAAAAGAGTTTTATTAGTACAATAAAATTTTACACAGTTACAAAAAAACAAAAATTTATTGTGATTTTTTTAAATTAATTTTTGAAAATTTATTTACTGAGAATAAAAAAATTTACAGAAAATTTCTTTTTTCTACTTTGCGAAAATTATGTTTTTGAAAAAATTATAAATGTTATAACAAAAATACAAAAATAGGTCTGCTAAAAAATATTAAGAATTTAATATTTAGGTCTAGTAAAAATTATTAAAAATTTTAAAGGCGGGAGTTTTATTTTTGTAACTTATTGCAGTACAAGGTGACAAAAAAGGTGTATTCATATTATAAAAGCGAAGCGGAAAAAAGTGTTTAGAAAAATTATTATAATTTATATAATATAATTTTGAAAAAAAATAAAACTAAATTTTAAAAAGACGTATAATATTAAAAAAAATTTTAAATAGTTGTGAAAAAAAAAATATTTTACAGTTTTTTATAAATCATCCAAGAATTTCATGGATATTTTAAAGATTTCAGCAAATACTCTAACTTTTTAATGATATTTGTACAGAAAAAAATTTAGAATGTAAAATATATGAACACTTAAAAAATAATTTCAACTATGAATGTTGTGAGAAGTCCGAAAAAACATATTTCATTAAACTGTATATTAGAATTAGAATTTACCATATAATAAAAAGTTTTAATAAAACTATAAAACAATTTGATATAAAACAAAAAATTTTTAGTGTTAAGCATAATTATTAATAAATAAAATAAATAAATTATCTTCAAATTTTTTATTATTATTTCAATCTTAATAAATTTAGAATATATTTCCCATGAATCGGTAATTATTATATTTCATAAAGTAATAATCAGTATGCATACACCTTTTTTTTCTTTATAAATTACTTTAATTCTGTGTTACTACCTGATACTGTGTATCTACTGTACCAGGTACATGCATGTGTACATTCACACATAAAATTTCAAACTCTTTTGCTTTCATACATTCGAATTTTTTACCAAACTTTAATAAAATGAAAAATATATTTTGTTATTATCAAAATGAAAATAACAAAATTTTTACCTAACTTAATTTAATTTTATTTCAGTTCAATGTTTTTGATACACTCGTTTGTTTACAATATTTTGTTTCTTTCTTGCCTACACAACTCTTGTTACCATTTATTTCTAAAAAAAAATGGAATTTTTTCAGAATTTGGATGCAAGATGCAAACGAAAACTAACGAAATGGAACGAGTCGAATTACTTATTAATAGATATACTTTGGTTATTAAGTGATACTTTACAGAAATAATTATTGAAACTACAGTGTATAAAAAACATAAAGTTGTGTATAAATCAATGCGACAATTTTCATAATATTACACTCGTGAGAGTTTTTCTCGTTTTTCTTTGTCTTTGGGAGAAATTTGAAGACAATAATGCTGAAACAGGAAAAAGGAATTAACAATGAAAAAAGGAATCATGTAACAATCAGAAAAAAGTAACCAATTTTGGTACGAAGACACTAAAAGTGGCAATCCTGGTGGTAAAATCCTATTTTTTTATCATAGAATTTCCACATTCTTTGTTCCAAATTTTCACATAGAAAATTTATTATTTACCTACATAGGTATGTATATCCAATGTATTTTACTTAAATAACATACACTATTCAGTTAACATTTAAATGCATTGCATTTATCAATTGTTTTAGAATGAATTAGTATATGATTGAGGAAGAATACGACGACGTACTATCTACTTCAGTGAAAAATAAAGATTAAATTAATTAAAATTTGTTAAAAATTAAGCTATTTTAGAGTCATATAACTATGTACTTATATATTTTTATTATTATTAATATTGTTAATTAAGTTTTCCAATTAAATTATCAAAACTGATAATATTTGAAGCTTTTTAATAAAAACTTTTGTTTTCAGGTGTATTGTGATATTAAAATACATAATATGTTATATCATTTTATAAAATAAATTTGTTCAAAAAATAATAATTTTAATATTTGTATAAATTTGATTTTTTTACAGATCTTTAAGATAAATAAATATTTTAAAACATATTTAAGTTTTACTTTAAAAAAGTGTTTTAACTTATCTTTCTTACATTATATTACACATATTTTTTTAATGGAGGCCCGATAAATAAACAAAACAAATTCGCTCCTGATATGGGATTGGTAACGCTTACAACAAAGAAAGAAACAACTAGAAAGCATTTGGCTTCATTGTTTTTTCAAACAATGCTACTTTTTTTAGTATGTGTTTCTAATTCGTTGGTTATTTATCTTAACTCACCTAATTAACAGTCTAATTCAATCACTAATTTTTCTTTTAAAATTTGTCCTCATTCTAAAAGTACATATACAATTTGTAATTATTACATAATGTGATTTTGGTATATTTTTGAGAATAATGTTTAAGTAGAACGGTACAACATGTTTTTTAAAAAATTTACACCCAAACCTTCTCTTTAAAGCAAATGTGCTATTTGCACACCATTGGTTTGACTTGGATTTATTCAACAACGTTTTAAAATTTAAAAGTGTTAGTCAATTCTGTATATTTTGTTGTATTATGAGTAATTTATTAAATAATGACTGCTAAAATTTTAGTCTCATAATGTTTAGCACTTAAAAGGAAAATTATATTAAAACATTAAAAAACGTGTTTAAGGTATAATTTGAAGTTCAGTTGAAGTTTTTTCGTTATAACTTTTATCTATGCTGTTTCGCACTAGAAAAAGCACGTTACTATATTTCTGCGCTTACAGAATTTGAAAAATGTTTATTATAATAAAATTGCAATATATAATAAATTGTCATTTTTGGGACTTTGAAAGGTCATTATTCTCAGAAAGAGGATGAGATTTTCTAGATAATTCACAATTGGTAAACATGTCCGTCTGTCCGTGGACATGTTTACCAAACTTCCACACCCGTGAAGATAAAAAGCTAAAATCATATACATACATATGTAGATAGATCCTTACTAGAAATTTATTTCCGTAGAAGAAAATTTTTATCTTTCTTTCCACTTTAAAAGTTATATTACCCCAAAACTCTGAAAATGACGTTTTTTAACTATTTATTGCGGTGAAATCATAAGCATTTTTCGAATTTGGCAAACGCAGAGAAGCAGTGGGTTGCTTTTCCTATTGCGGTATACATACTACAGTTAAACTTTAAAAAAAAAGCAAAATGGCCGTTAAAATTTATCCATTTTTTCCAAATTTTCGATGTCGTTTATCTTCTAGATCCCCGGCTGTAAAAGTCTGAAATTTTAACAGCTGGTTGACATTAATAAATAGTTCATTTCGTTGGAATAAAATTTTTTTCCGCTTTCACCCCCTCTCAAGTTATCGCTTCGCGAAAAGCAGTATTTTCACTTGTTGAAGGGAAAAGTGCTAGATTACAAACCATTGGTTTGACTATATTTTATTAAAATTGAGTGTTATCGGTTGAAGAATTTTCAATTTTTATTCAATAATTATTACATTTAATATCCTTCAAATAACATAAATATTATACAAAATAAAAAATCTAAGGTGATTTCAAAATGTTATCAAGTAAAAAAAAAACCTGATGTGGTCAGCACATAGCCGACCAAAATTGTATTGGCCAGTTTAGCGCAAATATTGCATAAGATAATAAAAATGTTATTTAAACCTTTAAAATTTTAGGGAAGAATCTTTAGTGTAAGCTTTTAGAACATACTTAGAAAAATATGAATTTAGCTTTTGGTAAAATTTTAATGTATGAAAAAAAACCCAAATGTTACAATAAATTTCAGCAAAAAATTCCGTCAATTAGTTTCATAGGTATGATAAAAAAGGTAAAATAGGCTCTTAGTTCTGTTTTCGAGTGCTGATATCCCCAAAAGTTTTATAAGTTCATTGTTGCAATTCATCAAGATCTTGAATTCATATATTAAATTTGATATATGATAAATATTCAAATAAATTTGCTCAAGAACTGGATCTTTACCACTGTTCGATTTTATATTTTTTTTATTTATTTTATATTTTTAGAAAATAGTCAACAGATTAACTTGAAAAGTTCATCAATCGTGACATAACTAAAATAAATTCAGATCTAAGCTTCTATGGACGTCGGTTCAGCCAGAATTAGAAAGATAAATACAGATCTACGCAGACTGAATGGCTGATAGACAAACCGAGAGACCGACAGACATCTGCAAACATTTGAAATATTTTATAATAAATTTATAAAATATTTCAAAAGTAGGTAATTAATTAGATTTTTCTCAGTGTCTCTTAAAATATAAAACTATAAGCACTCTCAGCAATTATTTTTTTTTATTTATTTTACATAACTGTATATTGAGAACGTATTAATAATATCTTATCTCGTTTTATGTCCATATCTTTGTATTTCTGTCTCTTTTATACCCTTTCCATATTTACAAGCTTGATAAAATATGCTTAATAGTCGATTTCTACTGAAAAACAAAACAAAAACTTAACGGGTATCAAATGCAAACAAAATATAATGCCAAATATATTCAGGGGTTGGGTGACCAAAAACTTTTGGGACGCTGATTTTTATTAACATAAAGTAAAATGATCAGTTCCAAAATATAGAACAGTTTTTTAATTCGCTTTTTGGAATAAACTTCTATTGTACCTATGTAGATTAAATTTTCAGTAAATATCTAAGTAATTAATAAATATTTTAATATATAATAATCAGATTTGCAATATGACTGTTATATATTATAATATTTTAAAAAATTTGTACCTATATAATGTATATTGTCTTTTAATTAATATTAATGAAACAATTTGTTGTTAATGATATGAATTATTAATACAATATTATAAATAAGTTTTTTTCATAAAATCAAAATTTGACGAACTTTAGTTTTATAAAACAAAATAGTTCAAGTTGCTGAAAGCTTAATTATTGCTGTACGAATAAATAACTAAACTTACAAGCAAATTGCTAATAATTAAGCTTACAACCTAAGAGTATTGTATATTTACCTTTCAGGTTATATGAATATTCTTGTTGAGTGTACATTTATATGTTCTTGCGTATGTCTTAATTAATGGTTCAATAAGTCTAAGAATTACATACTGTTCGGGATTAATATAAGCTATGCAGTTTTAATAACTGCCCCGCAAAATAAATCTCCAAAAACTTATATGTGTATCCTATAACCTATAAAAGCTATAGTACCCGAATTTTTTATGAACAATCTCTATAATATAATCCATTATTCAATAATAGGCGATAAAATTTGGTCTTGTTTGCATATAATTTCTAGCAATAGCTGTCTTAAATCTCTAAAATTAGTGGTTCTGAAATATTACAAACCTACATTATATAAGTATTATACTCGTATATATTTGTATATAACAATTTTTTATCTGTATTATAAAAACCGTAAATGCCTAATGAAAACAATAAAAAAAATCTTTGAAAATTCTAAAAGCTAAAAAACTTCTTAAAGAGTCTAAAAGAATTGGGTGTTCGATATTTTACTAATTCAGTTTCGCCGAGTTGTACGTATTTTTTTAAAACATAAATTTATTGTTGAAAGTTTCTGATATTATTGATTAAAGATTTGCATTGGAGTGAGCCGAGTATTTTAAAACAAAGTACTTATAACACAATGTACTACTAATTATTGTATTATAATAAGTACTAAAATAGTTAAAAAGTAAGGCAGCACTGGAAAAGTAAAAAATTAAAAAAAAGAACAAAATATTTACAATGCTCGTACAGTGCCAGTCTTAATGAAATCTTTTAACATAAACGTACTTTATTGAATCGTTTTGATTTGATTTTATCCTTTATTATTTGATTATCATTTCGTTACGAAAAAAATTAAAAAAATTTACTTAGTTTTAATAAAGTAAAATAAATATATTGCAAAATTAATAATTAAATGTTTTAAATAACAAAATTACAAGAAAAATACTTAATTAATTAAGTAGATCAATTTTGGTGTCGATATTTTGTATAATAAATTACTAATGTCATTTGATACCTGATTGCTAACACGTACTCAATATTAAAAAATAAAAAATAATTTAATAATGTTATCAACTTTTAAATCAGTATCGCCATATTTTAAACCAAAACAAGTGAAAGTCGATAATTTAATATTTCGATTACATTATAGATGGACATTTTTAATATTAGTTGTGGCAACCGTTTTAGTAACCTCACGACAATATATTGGAGAACATATTAAATGCATTGAACAATCTGGTAAACCATTGGAACATGTTATTGAAACATATTGTTTTTTTACAACAACATTTACGTTATTGCACCATAATAATTTAACTGCAGTAGAAAAAGGTATTGTACCACATCCTGGCGTTGGACCTTTTCAATATGAAGAGGATCCAATTAAAAGGCATGCTTATTACCAATGGGTCCCATTTATTTTATTTGGTCAAGCATTATTATTTTATATACCACATTATTTTTGGAAAAAATGGGAAGGTGGTAAAATTTTCAACTTAGTTAATGGATTACGTATTGTTAAATTATCAAAATATGTTAAGGAAGATTTTAAATTAGAAAATAAAACCAAAATATTTTCAAAAAAAACATTGGATAAAAAAACTGAAACTATAACCATTGCATTTAAAAATCATTTAAAAATAAATTCTTTATTTGGACCAAAAATGATTTTATGTGAAATTATGAATGTTTTAAATATATTTTTACAAGTTTATATGACGAATTCATTTTTGGGTGGCCTTTTTTTAAGTTTAGGACCAGCATTTTTGAATGAAACATGGGATCATAAAATGGATGCATTAGATATAATATTTCCTAAGGTTACTAAATGCAGTTTTTATAAATATGGCCCTAGTGGTGGTATACAATTGCATGATGCTTTATGTATTTTGGCATTAAATGTTATTAATGAAAAAATTTATACTTTTTTATGGTTTTGGTTCTTATTTTTGTCCATATTAAGTTTCTTATCAATTGTATGGAGAATTTTTACTTTGTTTATGCATAAGAATCCTGCATTTAATCAATTTGTATTTTCGTATGCTAGTCCAGGACGCTTAAATCAAGATGATATTGAAATCGTTACAAAACGCATAAATTTCTCAAATTGGATGTTTTTATATTATTTGGCGTGTAATTTGAGTGGTCATATATTTCGTGATGTTTTAAATCATTTGGCAAATGAATTTCACACAGAAAACTCTGACGGGAACGATGATCAATATAATGGTGATTATAAAAGCGGACTAAATTTGAACGAACAAAATGAAAAACAACCACTATATGGTGAATATTCATCGTCAGCAGACAAACTAAATATAAATATACAAAATGAAAAACAATAATTTTGTATATTCTGTTAAAAAGTTTAAAACTATACTGTAAAAATTTATTTTTTAAATGTTATAAATAAAAAAGAAATGACAAAATTAAGTTTATTGTTAAATATTATTAGTGATTAGTATATTTTATATTTACTAAATAAAATTAAAAAAAAAAAAATATCATGACAGCATTATTTAATTATATAAAGACACTTAATCTGCTATAAGTATTATAAAGTTTGTAGTATGTATGTATTTATGATATATTTGCGCCTAAACATATGCAATTGTTATAAGTTCGAAAAACATTTAATAATTTTTATTTCAACCACCAATTTATAACTCAATAATATTACTATTACGTAGAATGAAATTAGTTAATTAATAAATTTCTGATTTTTGATTAAATTTGAAATTAAATATATACTACAATTTTTTTTAAAAAACTTTTAGAATAAGATTATTGAATACAGTATACCAAAAAAACTTAAACCGACCATCATTGATATTACATTTGTTACAATAAAGATATCAAATTTTTGACATGAAAAAATGTTATTAAATTTAAAGATTAATAGATTATATTTATATAATTTTTATAAACTAAAAATAATTAAAATTTTTATAAATCAAATTGTATCTACGCATAGCTATTGCACGAATAACAAAATATTTGAAGAAAATGTTTATATTATAAATCAATGGTTCTCAACCATACCCATCTGGCCACATCTGAAGTTTTATTTTGAAACATTGCGGCACCTATTTAACATAACAATGTATATTATACAAACTAAAATATGTGTAATAAGTAAGATATCATTATATACGACCGTATATTTCACATACATACTTGCTTATTTTTGGTTCGGGAGGATATAATATTACTTAGTCAACTAAGGCTTCTCTTTTTTAGAATAACAATTACAGACTGTTTAAATTTTATGTTGAGACATGTGGGAACTTAAAACACAACACGAGAGTAGAATCAAAGAGTCGTAAAGTTTTTAATATAAAGCTGAAATCAAAGCTTTACGTCAGCGTAAAATATGAAGACTGATATGTTGATAAGAAAATAATTAAGTACCGCTTATACAACTTTTAAACTAATCTGTTTAAAACAGAGCAACCGGAACATCTTTTAATTTTTTTCCCCTTTGTTTTAAGCACTTAAAGTGTTTGTCGATTTCTCTTTAATCTAAACTAAATTCCGATTTTTGTCTTCTTTCAACAGTGGATTAGTTCAAAATTAACATTTCAAACTACGATCGATCCGTTATAACAATGCAAGTCCAGGTAGAACTTGTATTTCTATAAATAGGTTTCGGTTTAAATAATAAAAACGTTCTTTTGAAATTTTTCTATAATTACTATATTATTTTGTATAAGTTTGGCGAAATTTGGTTATAATATAAGGGCACATTTTTATTACATAAGGTCAAATTCAATAGAGCTTATTTTGTCAAAGAAAAGTAGGAAGTCGGCTTAAAAGGAAACTATCTGCAAAATTTTTTTTTCAGGAATTACAATTAAAACATTTAAGAAGCAATGAAAATCAATTTGGAGTTTATGGCTTTTTATAGTTAAAGAAATAAAATAGCATTTTATTTTTATGTTTGTAAAATTGTTTTCAGTGTGGGATCAACTTGCTAACTAGGATATTCACAATTTTTAAACGCTATAAATTGAGCTATAACTCGATCCCCCCGATGCGTAAGGTTTTTGTTTTAGATTTTGAGTAACAATATCTGTTTTCTGTGTATATTTAGGATCTATATTCTCTTGAAAATGTTCTAAGAAGTAATACATGAGCATATTGCAGAAACGACTTCAAAAACCAATTGAACTATGGTATTTTGTAATTTATATGGTATTTTGTAATTATTTCTCGATTCCAAAAAATATACTTGATTTTTGAATTAATATATGGTTGCTGAATAACCTAACATAAAAACTATGTATTTGATTTATTTATAAAGATTACTATGAAGAAATACGAGAAAAATTGAAAATTCCTCAAATTAAAACAGTTTATATGGAAACTAAAGTATCATGATATTTCTAGGATTGAATCCGCTTAATGTAAAGAAAAATACCCTAACATGAACTGGATATTTATGAAAAATTCATTTACTTATTTCCTTTTTAATATATTTTTTTAACTTCTAAATAAAAAAAAAAATGTTTTTTCCTTTTTTTTAAGGCTTAACAAAGCTTTTGCGAAACTTCATCGTTATTAAATTGCACCAACAAAATAAAGTGGAGAAAATTTTTTTTATTCGCCTTTGTACTGAGAGTGAGGATAATAAAAGTTTGTTTGAAGTTTCCTTTCTGTCTGTATTGCTGGCTAAAAAAAAAGAAAAAACTTTTTCCATATATTTTAACGTAGAGGGACAGCTTGTCTATGAATAAGGTATTCATATTTAGCATCTATTAACTAAGATATTACACCATTTGCGTTAATAGTCATGTGAATAAAGAAAGGCCGTCAATTTTCTTGAAGCTATAATTTACTATGTAAAACATTTGTGATGTTTATGTACATTCTATTAATTGTTATTAAAGGATGCGAGTGTGCACTTAAACCAGCAAGGTACAGAAATGCGAAAGACCCTGATTTTTTTCAAATTTCAGAAAACTTTTATGATGTGCAGAGTGAACTGAGAGATTAAATAAGTATAAATTATAATAACTTAATTTCAGGTATGATTCTTTGATCAATTTCAAGTAAAAAATTGTAGGAGGGCGAATATCCTGCATATAAATAAATGTTTATTATTCGGAACCATAGGCGAAATAAAGTAACCATCAGGGGCTTGTATTATAGGCGATATATTGTTCTTAATTTTCGGTCTCATAATAAATTTGATTTGAGCCCTAGCTAGTTTTCGAGTTCAAGTTCAAAATTTTTTTAAAACTTGAAATTTCTCGAAAAGTAGTGTTATTTTTCGATGCGTTATAATGAGAGGTAAAAGTTAACCTATATAACATTTTCGTCTGTCTCTAATAGTTTTGCTAGTAAAACATGTTGAATGTCTTCAAAAAACATGCGTAAAACTCATATTTCATACATTTCATACAAATTCCTAATTATGCATACTATACTAAAAATATTTAGTTCTGAAGTTATACGTATTCATTTATATGCAGGATAAATCTGGTACTTTTCCTTCAACGGGCTCGAAAACGCGTGTATCAAAATCCCTTCCTCCCTCGTCCATACAATTTTTTGTTGGAAGTTAATCAAAGAACCATCCCTGAGATTATTGGCCACCTTACATGGAACACGCTGTATTTACAGAAATTATATTGCATATATTATTATTAACAGTTAAAAAAACTTTAATTTATTTCTTTATTGCATAAAAAAAATTTTAACCTCTAAATGCCTACAGTTTTCAACAGTTTTTCTGCCTTATTTACATTGGTTAAATGTTTAATTGCCTATTTTTTGGTATTAATAGGCTTTCGGTATTGTTGTTTCCTCTTTTGACACGTTTTACTGCAATGGAATTAAATTTCGCGACTGTCTTGTAAAAATTTTCTAATTAGAAAAATTGATTCTAATTAGAAAACCATCAATTTTACAATTTAAATCGAAACCGTTAGAGTTTTCTAAAAAAAAATAATTCCTAAAACAAAATTTTATATTAAAAATTTTGTAAAATTTTTCTAAAATATTCTATTCTATGTATTTGGGTCTTAAAAAGCATCTAACGAGCACCGGTTTATATTTCACAACTTTCATTTTTAAAAAATTAAAGTTTTCACACTTTAATGAACAGTAAAAATTTTTGTAATTTAAAACTATCACGTAAGTATGTTATTTTTTTCTTATACTAAATAAAACATGAGATTATAATTGATATTTTAAGAATAACATTTGAAAGCCCATGTGTGTGACGTAGTGAAATTTCAAGTTTCTCCATTGAAAATTATATGGATTTGTAGTTTCCCCATAAAGTAATAACAAATGATATTACGCGTCAAAGCGTAATAATACGTTAAGTGTGAATATTACTAATATTAAAAATAATATTTAGCGCAGTTTGCATATCTTTAAGTTGCGAGTTTTCAAAATCATGCTAAAGGCCTATGTTCCAGCGAGCGCAATAAATCTACTTGTAGAATTGATCATAAATAATGTAGTGAATCTGTTAGTGGGTTATGTTGGGTAATATCATTAGCATTAATTTTAAATTAATCTTTGATATTAATATAAAAACGTTCAAATTATATATTTTTATTATGTTTAAATTTTCTTACAAATTTAATAATGGATTGCTCTTCTTTATTTAAGTAGATTTAAAATTAAATGAAGTGTAATAGTTTCTAATCCTTTCCTTTTTGCAATATTTCAGTTTTTTTTTTTTTTTTTGAAAAAGTAGTAAATAAAATTAAAAAGTTGTCATTATGATTATTTTTAGGGCAGATTTTTAATCTTATTAAAAAAATGGCATAGATTATCGTAATCTACTTAAAAATTAAAAATTTTCAACAATCCTTTGATAGCATAGTTTGAATAAAATTTCCGATAATAGTTGCACCTTCACCTAACCGTTTTAAATTTTTAAGGATAAATAAGGAACGCAGTCCGTCTTAAAATCAATTATCGGCGACGCTTTTATTTGCAAAAGTATAAGCATTAAAAGTATGAGTATTTAATTGAGCATTTAAAAGATGCCTTATGTATATATAGATGCTTAGTGTATGAAGAAATATCTGCAATTGGAGAAAAATAAAAAGTTTTATTCCTTTATTCGAACAATAAATTTACCGAACGTTATGGATTTTTAGATCACTTAGCAAACTATTGTGCAATCTAAAACCAACAACAGAGTTCTTCTGAGAGGAAATATTATATCTTATATTCTTTGAATTCTGATTCTAAATCTAGTGTTAAATTTATGATGAAAGCATTGAATATTAGAGTGTATTGTTTTGTTAAGTATTTTAAGTGTGAAAATTATCTGGTGAAATTTATAGATAGCAACCACAGATAACATTTCATTAGACGAATATAAAGTATTGGTTCTGAATTGAAATGGGATATCATAAATATTTTTTAGTATTTTATTCTGGGAATCTTGCAATCTTTTACATCCTTTACTATCTTTTCAATTAACCATGCTATAAGAGAATATTGATAATTGAATTA